CAATGCACCATATATTTGGTGACCAAATCGGCAAACACGTCCTAGTTTACTTGGACGACATTCTGGTGTTTAGCCGAACTGCTGAAGAGCATATAAGACACCTAAGACAGGTGTTAAAAGTGCTGCGACAGCAAAAGCTATACTGTCGAATGCACAAGTGCCAGTTCAATAAGGAGGAAATCTCCTACCTGGGACATATTGTGTCTCAAGAAGGCATACGCCCCGATCCCGAAGGGATCGAGAAGGTGAAGAACTGGCCCACACCTCAGTGTGTGAAGCACGTACAGCAGTTCCTCGGATTGGCTAACTATTTTCGAAAGTTCATTCAAGGCTATTCGAAAATGGCGACTCCCTTGACAGACTTGACCAAACAGAATGGCAAGTGGGAGTGGACGTCGAAGTGTCAATTGACGTTTGAGCACATAAAGGAGTGTTTGACCACCGCTCCTTTGCTCAAGATGCCAGATCCGGAAAGACCATTCGAGGTCATCGCGGATGCCTCGCAAACTGCTGTAGGGGCGGTCATCTGCGAAGGCAATCCACCTGTTGCCATTGCGGAGTGTTACTATGAAGAACCGCTTAGCCCGAAGTAACGGACCACTGTCCATTGACCTACCTTAAGTCACAACCACAGCTGAGCCGGAGACAGGCCAGGTGGTCGGAAATCTTACAACAGTTTGACTTTGAATGGGAATATCGCCCAGGACGAAAGAATGTGGCTGATCCACTCTCTCGTATTCCTCCATCGCTGGATGAGCAAGTAGCGAGGAGGAAAAGTCAACTGGTTGTATGTGGCTTAAGAGTAATGCATAAGCGGGGAAGCCAAAGAGAGGCAGGAGAGACGGTAGAGGCCAAAGATCTAGCTTCCAGGATCCGTCAGGCCTATGGCAAAGATCCCCAGCTTACGTCTGTAAGACAGCAGCAAGAGATGCGCTGTACAGACGGGTTGTGGCTGCGAGGCAATCAGGTATATATACTTGCCAGTCTGCGGACTGAGATCTGCCAGTTGGCTCACGACCATCCAAGTGCGGGACACTTTGGTCAAGCCAAGACTCTGGACTTGATCCAGCGGCATTACTGGTGGCCAGGAATGCGACGAGAAGTACAGTGTTACGTTGATACTTGCCTGGTTTGTCAACAGGTTAAGTATCCTCGTCAAAAGACCCCAGGCTTATTACAGCCATTGGGCATTCCTGGGGAGCCATGGACTGAATTGTCCATGGACTTCATCACTCAACTGCCAAAAACTAAGGGAGGTCATGATGCTATCATCGTATTCGTCGATAGACTGACCAAAATGGTCCGCTTAGCAGCCACGACCACCGAGCTCTCCGCAGAAGGAGTAGCTGACCTGTTGGTGCAGAATGTGATAAGGCACCACGGCCTCCCCTCTCAGATAGTGTCCGACAGAGACGTTCGGTTCACTTCCAGGTTTTACCGGTACCTGGCCGAGAGGTGGAAGATTCAACTCAACATGAGCACTGTGTACCATCCACAAACGGATGGCCAGACCGAAGTCATGAATCAGATTCTGGAGGATTACTTGCGTAGCTATACGCGTTCTGACCATGACGCGTGGGATGAACTGTTAGCCATGGCCGAGTTTGCAATGAACAACTCGAAGAACAGTTCCACCCAAGAGACCCCGTTCTATTTGAATTACGGGAGGCACCCAAAGAGTCCCTTAGCTCTTGGTGTGCAAATTCGGAAGCCTTTAAAGGGCTATGACAATCCAAATGCCCGCGGCTTGGCAGTGGCCATTGAAAGGGCACAGCAGCCTTATTTGAGGCAGTCTGGTACACCCCTCGTGGAGGGATTACCAGCAGTGACACGATTTGATCACCGTGTCCAAACAGCGCTGAAAGAGGCCAGGGCGTGCTTGGAAAAAGCACGAGATAGGCAGTCGAAGTATGCTGACCGCCATCGGAGGGAAGTGTCGTTTAATAAAGGAGATGGCGTCCTCCTTTCGACACAACATATCACCCTCAAGCACCTTGGAACTCGAAAATTATTACCGAGGTGGATTGGGCCCTTCACCATCCTCGACCGGATAGGTTCTGTCGCATATCGACTAGAACTCCCGGAAAGCATGCATAGGATACATCCAATATTTCATGTGTCAAAAATCAAGCCGTATAAGGCAAGTGGCAGAGTACAGCCACCCCCAGTACCTATCGAGATCGAAGGTGAACTGGAGTATGAAGTTGAACGTATTCTTGACAAAAGGATTAAGAAGCGTGGGAGACGCAAAAACTATGTTGAGTACCTTGTCAAATGGTTGGGATATGGACATGAGCATAACAGCTGAGAATCAGCAAAGTCAGTTGCAAATGCACAGGAACTGGTTCAAGCATTTGAAAATGGCAGAACCTCTGTGATGTAAATGCAAACTGCGTGAAAGTACGGGATGTACATACTAAAACATGCTCATGTGTGACTATGCTTTGACAGGTTCTCCTGAGATGGGCCCAGAAGAACACTGGGTACACCGCTCCCCATGCCAAGACGCAATTTGGACACATGAACGCCATGTCCGTTGCGATCTTGAACGGAGAAAGACTAGACATTGATGAACCGCTCGTGCCAGCCTCTCGAGGAGCTGGGCGTGTGCGTGGCCACGGGTGAGGACGAGGTCCCGCACCGAGCCGACGCCCACCAGCATGGGCTTTTGGTGGTTCCCATTCTCGGGGTCGCAGATGACAGGCCGGGAGGTCGAACATTCCAGCCATGTGGCTGAGGAAGAGTTTTAATGAGGGTTGTGAAGACCGGGAGGTCATGTAAAAACAACCACTCTTTCTCTTCACCATAGTTTACATAATGTATGTGTGGTTACCGCGCCAACTGGGCATGTGGCAAATCGCATAGCCAGTTCTATTCCCACATACATAATGTTTCTGCTCCCATATCCATATATATTGGGACGAGGACGCCCCACCTCCCTGAGGGGGACGAATGTTACGCGCACCGGCCTGGTGTGGGGGACGCCCTCCTACTGGCCCTTGGTGTGAGGGACGCCCTACCCAAGATCGTATTGTATTCCTTGTCCTACGGTAACTCTTATACTTATAAGGATATGGGAGTAGGAGGGGTGGTCCCGCCTAGGTCCCCGTAAGGACCTAGGTGCCCGGCGAGGCGGGTCCGCGGCTCAAAGAGGGCAGGCGCCCCACACCACAGACTTTTCGTATCAGTGGACTCCCATTGGAGCCTACTTTCACAATGATGCCCATAACTGTGCTGATTGGCACTTCCCGACATAAAATTAGAGGTGGCCAACCACCTCTTGCAATATAAACCACACATCCTTCTGTCGCTTTCCTCATAGCTTTCCCCATGATTGACAAGACGCACGCCAAAAAAGCGCAAGAAAACAGAAGCCAAAAAAACAGCAAAAAAAAACTGCCCCCCGCGGGAAGCGCAGCTCGGAACGCGCCACACCTCCTCTCCACGACCGCTCTCGGCGGTGTCGGATCCAAGCGCCAAAGCCGCGGACCGACCCTCGCCCATCTCGACGCCGCGGACGCGGGCGCGTGACAGGTGAGTTCGCCGGCGGCAATGCCGATGATTTGAACCGACGATTGAGGGAGCAGGATCGGGCGACTGAGTGGGGGGCGTGGTGGGGTGGGGTGGGGAAGGTACTGGCTCCGGAGACGCTGTGGCTGTTCATATTTCCGGGTTTTCGAATCTCTGAGCAGGCCGCATGCACGGCAAAGACGCGGGGATGCCACAAAGAAAGGGGTGGGGTGGGGGGTGGGGGTCCTGGGCGTGTTGACTTTGTTGCGACGGGCATCAACCCTCAGGGAAGCCAGTCTCGGAGTCGATCCCTCTTGCCCTGCCGTTCGACTCCAACCGCACTGCTTCCCGTCAGACAGTGCGCGAGCAGACAAGGAGGACTTGTGAAATCGATTGGATTTGTGGCGACCGCCCGTGCGTTGTTGCTACGGTGGACTCGGGGGCTCGAATCAGTCACAGCCTCCGCGACTGTGCATTTCCTTTCTAAATGCCTCTGTGCTGGGCGCAATGTGCACACGAATTGCTGCCACAACGTTGCCGGGGATCTCTTGGGAACCTGATTTGGTGGTACGCTTACCTTGTGGACAGGGGGGAGGGGGTTGGGGCAACCACTGTTTGGGAGGGGAATGCATGAATTCTTGTTTCCTTGCTGCTCGCGGTGTTCGACTGTGGGCACCTTACCTGGAGCACTTCAGGGCATAGTCGTTGCAGATGGCAAAGAAACTTGGGAAAAAGCATCTAAAACTTGTCCAAGATAAATTGATAATTTGTATGGCGCATATTCTTGTCTGTTTGGGACTCATTGCACGTTTGCCGCCCAGATGCCCTGCTGCTCCAGGCAGTGTCTTGGAGTAGGAGTGGTGGAAGTGGCTTCAGTACGAGTGTTCCTTGACATCGACAATGGGTGAAGTGAGTAGACTTGGAGGGTTACTGTTTTTAGTACATATGTTAAATGAGGGTTTGTGCTCACTACTGCTGTGGGCAGGCGGCTTGCGCAATGATGCCACCAGCCTTGTGCATGAGGGCAAGATACTAGGATGTGGCTATCTCATGTTCTTCTTGATAAACAAGTGTTTGGCATTTGTCATCACAGGGGACAGCAAGGCCTTGGTAGGGGGAATCGCATTGTGCTGTTCCAACCCTGTTTGTGGCAATGCCATTTGAGCTCTTATTCGCCAGCGAACGGCCTGAAGATTGCTTTGGCATTTTCGAACTGGAATGGTATGCATCCCTCCTGTACCATAGCCATGGCAGTTGATAGTGTGATTTGGCACAAAGTGGACACAAGTCATGCCATGGGGAGCCCTGTTTTGAGAATGATTTGTTTGGGGCTGCATCATTGATGTGAAGATTACATAAACTTTTGCCTGGACACAGTTGTAAGAGTTTGCATGGCATGTCCGTATCGATTTGCTTGCCTGTTGATGGTCTGACTCAATTTGCTGGTGGTTTGTTTAGCTACAGGCCCAGTTGCCCTTTTGTGAGATGGGATGATGTCAAGGAGAGAAGATCGGAGCTCAGGGCACCAGGCTTGTGAGGTGGGTACAATGATATGAAATACTATTTATGAAACTGTCACTTGAAGCGTCTGTTTGTGTGGAACAAGCCCATACATGCATTTCGACCAGATGCATGTTCCTGGAAAATTGAGTCCAACGTTGGTCCGCTTTGTATGCAACCTGACTTGCTATTTGTCATACTCATTGACTTCAGGATGGTCTGCCCTGTGCATGCAGAGATTTCCACATCAGCAAACAAAGGTCTAGTCTGCAGCCCTTTGCCGGGAGTTGCCAACTGTGTGATCTGTTCACCAGCACAGTACGGTGTTCAACACTTTGGCATCTTTGCAGTTTAGAAGTTTGTGATCGCTTGTTGAGGGGTTTTATCTTGCTGGTTTGGCAAGTCAGCATCGCATTATTTCTTCTTTGTGCGGCATTGACTCTGGAGGGCTTGCAGAACAACGTAAAAGGAGGCTGGATGGCAATGGGGAGTCACATCAAAGCACCCTTGCTGACCTCATTGAGGCTATCATTGCAACTTTAGTGCTGAATGACAGCAGCTTATCATGTTCGCTGTAGGAAGAAGTGGCAAAAGGGGATTGGCTGGCAGCGACAATGCCAATTGGCAAGTAACGGGCTAGTTATTTACTTGTAGACAACCTGCCAATGGTGTTGCATCTGTAGACAAGCATCTTCACCAGCCGCGCAGAGGCAATGTCTCGCCACAGCAACCCACAATCTTCTGCGCCTTCGCTGCGCTATTTTCCCAGTGAGGCTGGGATCGTGATGGCGTGGGATCGTGAAGGCTCTTGATCGTGAAAACTCTTGGCTTCGCAATTTGATGTTCTCAGTGCTTGATGTTTGTTGAAAGGAATGTGCATGTGCATGCTGTTGCCTGGCAAGAAAGAAAAGCATGCAGTTGCTATGCCACAATGCAGCACAGTAAACAGAGAGTGCCATGAAAGCAACTTGAACCTGGGCAGATACAAAAGTGCCCCTTTGGGCGTATTTGCTTTCAGTGCAAGACTTTGCAGTGCAGATGCCAGTACACATGAGTTCCACTCAGCGTACCCTGTGCTCGTAGGGGTGGAGTCGCCTCTTCCCTCATGTGTTGGATGGAGTGGAGGCGCTGATGGCGAAACACGAGGCTGTTGTACTCCGCAGACGAGCCAGGCTCGTGAATCGTCACTGGTGTCAGTGGGCAACCCAAGCGGTCAAAAGTCTCAAGGTCATAGACGAGTCAACGACTGAAGGGAGGATGGACAATATTGCCCAGCGCTTCAGTGCACTGGAGGGCCTCACTCTCACTGATCCAGACAAATGCGATCTGGCGCCACCACTCTGTTTCTTCAGTTCACTCTGTTTGCTTCGGCAGTTGAGGAATCTCACGATTGGGGTTCGTGCCCTCAGTGGTGGTGACATGACGTTCCTGGCGTGTGTTACAAACCTTGTGAGTCTGGAGCTGTTCAAGTGCTTTGCACTCACTGACCAGGATTTGCTAGAGGTCACTGCTTTGGTTGGGCTCACAAGATTGCACCTGAGGGATTGTTGGCAAGTTTCAGGCAACGGACTTGCCAGGCTGGCAGGCCTGCCCCTTTTGGCAGATCTCGATGTCTCTGGCAGTTGCATCACAGAAGTGGGTTTGGGTCACCTTGCGGCAATGGCAAGCCTGACAAAAGTTGTACTTCCACAGTGGATTGCGTTTGGGCGTTGGTTACCAGCGAAAATGGCCAGGTTCTGGGCAGAGATGACTAATCTGGTAATGCTAGATATGTCTCACTGCAGGATCACAGGTTGTGCCACAAGCGATCTATTGCCCCTCCTACAGCCTTTGACCAGTTTGACAGAACTGCATCCCCTAGAAACGATATCAGATGATGGGCTGCAGGCTCTCGGGAGCCTCACCAATTTGTCACGCATCGGTCTCCATTATTGCACACAAGTCACCAGCAATGGCTTCAACTTTCTGAAGCAATTTCCCAAATTGGTCCAACTCGAAGTCCGTCAGTTGAAAAGCATCTCCTGCTCCACCACCAGTATCATTGGGGGTCTTACGAATTTGATGGATTTGACGCTTTTTGCCTTTCCGGACATGGGCATTGATGGCATCAGTGCACTCTCTGGATTGACAGCCCTCACAGCACTACGACTGGAGACAAGGGGATCGACAGTGGCAGAAAGCATGGCATGTCTGTCCAATCTGACGAGTTTGAAGAAGCTGATACTCGTAGGCACATGTGCTTCGAGTGATGACACAAGTGCCTGGATGGCGCTGAGAAGTCTAACCAAACTGAAATTTCGGGCTGCAAACATCACGGACATGTCTATGGCGGGCTTGGGAGGCCTGACAGGACTGGTTAAATTGGAATTGCACCATTGTGAGGATGTGACGGATTTGGGCATGCAAGCGCTGGGGCTGCTGTCGGCACTCTCTGTTTTGAGGCTGGAAGGATGCAGCAGGATTACTGAAGCCGGTTTGAGACACTTGCTGGCTTTACGGTTCCTCAGGCGCGTTGAGATCGTTGGCTGCCCTGATCTGGCATCCAGGGTGGAGGATGTTTTGAAGCAGTGGAATTAGCCACAGGGGCACCAACAGGCCAAGGAGCAAAATATCAAAATTTGTATTTACAAACTTAGTATCTTGTGAGCTGGGCACCTCTGAATCAAAAATATTATCAAGCATGACTTCGTGATGCATAATCTGCTTCCTTGTGGTGTTGCAATGCCGGATTATGGTGTTATGCATATCTTTGTGCACTCGCATCCCTGATAGGGGCGACTTCCAGAAGCAAACACGGATTTGTGAATAATATTATGGAGAAGCCTGCTTGCGTTTATGCAAATGTAGAACACATGGCAAGAATGTAACCTGTGGAGACATGAAAATGCGGAACTGCACACACACGGGATTGCAGATTCCTCCGTCACTTGCTTTTCTCGTATCACCTCCCCTGCTATCGCTTTAAAAGAGGTGGGGATTCCTTGATGTCAATGAGCTCTCCATGCTCAACAGTCCTTGCCCATGCGCCCCCTTGAAAAGCAGCCAAAACCAAAGAAAAATGCGCAACAGCCTGCCTAGGACTATAGCCGCGAGCAGCTCGACAAGCGACCTCCTCACTAGCCCTGCGCCTCGCTGAGGATTTCCTGAAACGGACCACTGATGGAGAGACGGAGACGGAGACAAAGACACTGTACATACATACCGCAAAGCCTAAAGACCGTAAAAAGGACAGAAAAGCACAAAAAACGAAAACCCTGAAAACCCCTGAAACCTAACCCCTCAAAACCCTAACACAAACAAAACAAAGCAACAACCTTAAAAAACCCTGAGGCCCAACCGCCCAATCGTGACCTCTCACCGCATCAGTCGTCCGTGCCTGGGTCAGTATTTGCCGGACGGACCGCTCCCTGCACACGTCTCGACGGCGCCACTCGGCGGTGTGGAGCCAAAGCGCCGGAGCCGTGGGCCGACCGGTGCCAACCCTCCCGAGCAATTGTATGCGAGACTCCTTTCAATGCTCTGCCAAGGTGGTGTGGAGTCCGCGGTGCGGCGGGAGGGGCACGCATCGCGGGGGCGTGGGTAAGATTTGTTGCAAAGAGAAGGAGAGACAGGTCATATAAAGGGCACCCCCTCCTGAACAAATGTACCCAAGGCTCTTGTCCATACCTTGAGAAGATGATGTAAATTATCGGGTGCAAGGGGAGCACACAGGAGATTGGGCCGTGTGCCCAGTGCCGCTGCCACTCCGCAACGGCCGTCGCGCTTGACTTGCTAGAAAGGCTCAGGTCAATGAGACCTCTTAACTCTGCCACAATATCTACAGTTGTGCAGGAGATGGATCTGCTCATGTTTGTGCTAATTCTGGACAACTTAGGAAAATGTGCCAAAAGCTTGAAGCCAGTGTCAGAAAGTTTATCGGGGAGAGCAATGTATGCCGCAGTGACCAGGCCACCAAGCGTCTGGAGCCCAGCATTAGACATGCTTCTTGGCACATGCAGCTCTGCTAGATTCTTCACATTCTTCAGGAGTGCCACCCCATCGTCGCTGATGCCACTGGAGCATGAGTTGTTCAGCACTACCAGATTCGCCATATCTGCCAAGAACCCTGCACCGCTGTCTGAAACTGAAGGGTGCATGGGATTTTTCAGTGGCAAAACAGCAGCCTTCCCAAGCCTGTCATCGCTGCCAGGTGGCCTATCCAACATCTGTCAGTAAAGGGAGCCTTGCTAGACTGGCAATGCTGTGATCCGAAACTGCATCACAATAGCACAGCCGCAACCCTTTAAAACCCACCAAAGTGGAAAGGCTCAATATGTCCATGAATCTGGTGTAATGAGTCAACTAAAGACACATGAGGCTTGTTGTGTGGCCCATGAGTTCAATGTCACCTTCACCAAATGTGCCAGCCACAAGAACAATGTGGCTGAACCGGGAGAATGAGCTGACCAATAATACATCTGAATTTACAGGGACTATAATGGTGAGGCAGTCCTGTGGAGTGAAGCGATGGGCAATGCCATCCAAATTCCCTTCCAAATTTGTGTTGCTCCTGTGGTGGAGATGGAACAAAGATGTCATCAGAGAATACAATTCACATATGCAACAGCACTTGCCATCACCCTTCAAACTTTGAGTTCTGGAAGAGATTGAACAAACACTAACCTCAGGAAATGCAATTCATATGCACAAACGGCACCCGACGTTAGCCCTCATCCCATCATGCAGATTCTGCACGTCTTGAGGAATGAACTGAGGACTATCCTGAGGTAGAGATGCCTGTGATACACTGTCGGCACTGGGACTGACAGCTTTAAGTGCGGCTCCAGTGGGAAGTGGTTAGAATTTACAGTCACAAGACGAGTTGGCAGGAATGGGGATCATGGCAGCCCTGACAAAATTGAGAACACTGACACTGTTGCATTATGCTAGAACGAGTATGGACATGAATTTTGTGGCAGCATTGACAGGCCTGACAATCCTGGACATCACTTGTGAACATTCCATCACAGATGCTGGTCTTGGGGTCGTCGGACAACTCACATCACTTGTTCAGCTGTCATTGAGACCTTGCAGCAAGGCCACAGGCGTAGGCAGGCAGGCGCTTGGGAATCTACCGACCCTCTCTGTGTTGAGGTTGGATGGGTGTGAAAGGATTATCGTCGGTGAGTTGAGATGCCTGGTGCATTTGCAGTTCCTCAGGGAAGTTGACTTCTTTCCCGAGCTCAGAGCCCCCGCCAAGGATGTCTTGTGATGAGGGGACTGGGGCACATATGCATGCAGCACAGCACTCAATGTACAGTTGCGCAGAGAGTTTGGGGGCGTGTGGCTGGAAGCATATATCGCAGGTAATGGCACGCATGCACTTGGAATCCTACACAGCAAGTGTCAAACAATAGCAATGCGGTCTGTACGCAGTGGGACCTGCCGATTGAGACATTATTGTTTGTGTTGTTGCTATTTGGTCGTATTATTGCATTATTATTTTCAGTTTTTATATTGTGTTAGCGCGGCTCATGAAAGGCCAATATCTGTGGGACACACGCTGCTGGGCCCAAGGGGATGTGTTACCACAATGAAGGAGCTATTGCATGGCTTTGCACATGCGAAAAATGCAACGAAGCAGAAGTCAGCGAAGAAGCGCCCTTGACAGAGCTTTCCTTGTCAGTGGGCCTCACAAGATTGCACCTGAGGAATTCTTGCAGGTTTCTTTTGGACAACGGACTTGCCAGCTTGACAGTGCTGCCTTTTGGCAGATATCGATGCTGCTGCCTCTTGCGTGTCCGATGTGGGGTGGGTTCGCCCGATGGCAATGCCAAGCCTGGCGAATGTTTTGCTCCCCTCTTATGTTGCATTTAGCCATTAATATCCTGCCAAAGTAGCCAAAAGAGGACGGTTAATATTTCTTTTGCTACAGTGGCCCTGTTTTTTTTTCTGAGACAGTGGTCATGGCTACTGTGTGATTCGGCTAGCCAAGCGCCACGAGTCAGCCGACAGCCAACCCTGACCTTTGCGCTGGGCAACCCGTCCGCCGCCGGGGACCCCTTTCCCGTGCCAAGACACCTCTTCCATGGGCAGCTGGTTCGCGGGCCACGTCCGCGGCGGCCCCAGGCACGTGTAGGTGCTGGCCAGGTGGATGCTGGCCACTTACGGGCCATGGAAACACGCCAAGACACGCACGAGTTGTTCAGCTGGCCAACCTGCGAGCCTAACCCAAAGGAAGGGCGCAAAAAATGCCAAAAACGGTGGGAGTGAGAGGCTGAAAGTGGCCTCCCACTCCTGCGATGAAGCTCCTCGCGGTCACCAATGGGTGCCACCCGGGGGCGCCCATGATTGGCATCCGCGAGTGCCATCAAGCGGCGCCCACAGGGGGCGATTGCGATCTGCGAACTACAGCTTATTTTGCACCCAAGGCTTGGGCGCAGAACACGCCACAAAACAGCAAGAGTGGGAGGCCGAACGTCGCCTCCCACTTGTGCCATTTTTTCCCTTCATGGCCACAGACTGGTGCCACCTGATTTGGCGCCCACGAGGAGTGGATACCAAAGGTCAACTGCGACCTGCGCAGCGTCTGTAGCCTGAGGATTGTCCAATACCTATCATTACCGGATATGAAGGTTATGAAGGGGTCATGAAGCTAATGAAGGTGATATAATGCTGGCCGTCGCCTCCCACGGTCGCCATTCTTTCCCGTCATGGCCACCGATTGGTGGCAGCGGTGGGTGCCCCGATCGACACCTGCGAGTGCCTCCATTCGGCGCCTGCAAGGAGCCAAAGTGGGCAACACGCTTTGGAGATCATAGGCAGAGATCTGCCGTGGATCTCGGGCCTCCCCGGGGAGACCCGCTACCCCGGCCCTTTGACAAATGACCAATCCATCCATCCACGAACAACCAAGCCCGCCTAAGTGGACGAATGGAATTCAGCCCCTTGGGGCGGTTTGTGGTCTATCCATCCGTCCAAAAACTGCGGAACCGACTGTCGCCCCCTCTTCGGCCTCTTTGCCTTTGTGGGCGACACCCAATCTCTGCCGGGCCACAGGTCATTCGCCACGGTGTCCGCCCCTCTGTTTGCCCTTGCTTTTGCACTGTGCGTGGTGGGCTTGCCTGCCCTGCTTCCTGTAACGTGGCCGCCTGCGGCTCTTGAAGCCTCACGGCCAGCAGGGCCCCATGTCACTCGTTGGCATCTACTAAGGGTGGCAAAGCGGCGACCTGCAGTTCACACATCAGTTGGAGCCAATGTTGCAAGTAAGAACAACCGCCCACTGTCGCGAAAAACAACGGTTCGGGCACTGCTGCAGAAATGAACGACGTTGTGGTAATAATGAGCGACACTGTCGCAAAAAAGAACAATTTCACTTTCGCAGGAAAAACAGTAACCGCCAAGCACTGGGTAAAGTATGGCTAATCTGTTGGTACCTCCAGGACCAAAGGTTGCGTTTGCTAGAGGTACTGATTTGCAAGTATTGCTTTGGAGAAACCTACCTATTGGCGTCTGTGGAAGTAGAGAATGCATGGCAGGAAGGCAACCAATTGAGACTTGAAAATGTGAAACTGCTCACAATCGTGAGATACCGAATTCCCCTGTCGCTTGTTTTTGCATCACGTCGCCTTCCCCCGCTTAGTGTGAATGTTTGTCTCGATGCTCAACAAATCTTAGTAACATTTGTCATAAGATTATCTTACCTCTGGACCCCAGGATAACAGGAAGACGAAAACAACGCAAAACACCAAACCACCCTGCCGACAACTACAACCACAAAACAATGGAGTAGACGGCCTTCTCCCAAGCCCTCTGCCTGGCCCTCGCCGTCAGCGCAGACGTGGGTGTTCCCGATATGGACCACAGATTGGATGGAGACGCAGGCCCCGTACACACCCTGGACCTGACGGTGTCACATGTACAGGCAATCAGCACAGAGGCGTGACGAAGCCGAGATGAAGACAGAGACGGAGACAAAGTACATTCACACCCCAAAACCCAACGTGCAACCGCCCAACCGTGACCCACCTCCGTCTGCGCAACGAGAAGCCCTGAAAATCCCTACAGCCCTTAAAAAAGCCAAAAGCCCAATAGTGACATGACTTCGTCTGTGTCACCATCTCCGTCTGTGTTAATGACTCCATCTCCGTCACAACTCAGCATGAAAATAGTGGCTCTGTCTTTTCCGCGAAGATCCCTTCTTGTTTCCACACACTGAACCATAAACCACTGACCCACGTTAGCCCTGTCAGCGGAAGAAGAAGGGATCTTCATGGAAGACAGACTGATATATTCCCGGCATACCTCCGTTCGCGCGGTCGGTATCCTCAACAGCCTGCAAAACCCCAACGCCCAACCGCCCGGGTCCGTATCGGTGGTCCCCTTCGGAATACGGTACGCCACGTACCCTCGCATGCCACTTGCTGTAGTGCCTTCGATGGGACGTCCCACCGCTCCCCCAAGCCACCTGTCCAGTGGCATGGAAAACGGCAAGACATTCCAAGGAAGACTGCAAGGAAGAGGGCAGTCCAGTCCCCCGAGTGCCCTTCAACCCAACACGGCACGCCTGCTGTCCACGACCCCAGTCAGCTGCGTCGGAGCCAAAGCGTTTGAGGCGCGGGCTGACGCTCGCCCATATCGACACTGCAGGCGCGGCCTCGTGGCGGGTGAGATCGCGGGCGTCAATGCCCATGATCAGGATCCGTCGATTGGGGTTTCATGATCGGGCGATCGGTCGGGGCAGGGTGGGTAAGATTCGTGACAAAGAAAAGGGAAAACGAGTCATGCAAGGGGTCGCCCACGCCTAGGCCAGCGCGTGCGAGACTCCTTTCCATGCTGTTTGAAGATGATGTGGAGTCTCGTGTGCAACGAGGGGAGCACACAGGGGATTAGGGCACGGGGTGGGTGCCCAGTGTTGTGGCCAATCCGCAGGCGCCGTTGCGCTTCCTTCGAACCCCCGGCAAGGACGCGCAGTTGTCCGTTTGTGGTTCGGGGGCCATCTGGGTGGGCATGCCGTTTTCGTGACGACTGGCGGGCACCGGTTAAGGAGTCCACAGTTTGGCCGACGATCCCGCGTGCTTGGGTACTGGCAGCATTACTTTCCTGTCAGACAGAGATGGGGCAGACAGGGAACGGACCGTTTGCCTTGTGCGTGTGATCGAAGGGGGCAAATGCCCATGCGCCTATGTTTTCTGCCTTCCACACCGCCAGGATCAATCTCAGCCTCCGCGGAAGACGTCTTTTCTTGCTTTCGGAAGGCCTGCCTGCTGAACGCCGCGTCCATGCACATCGGCGCCGTGGGGTTGCAGTGAAGACCATGCACGAGTTTCTGAACTCATCTGAAAATGTGCGCGTGGCGCAGCCAGGCTCATGCACATTCTTGTCGATGGCCTGCAACGCATGCTTGGCATCAATGCTTCGGTGTCTGATTGGCTGCTGCTGCAAGATGCCCGGGAGAGAGAAACAGAGCTCTGGCAGAGAAATTTGTGAGGTGGGCGTATGCTCTCCGTGCATATCAATGCACTTTGACAACAGCAGAACAGCTTTATCTTGTGCACCAAGCCCTTGCCTGTGCTGTGATTGGATGTTGTTTGCTGCCAATTTCTGTACAAAACAGGGCGCCCGACTATGCACTCAGTGCTGTCCGTCGCCATGCTCACTGTGATATGCCTGCATACCCTGCGGGGCCAGGGCTTTCCACATCAACAAAAACAAAAAGACACATACACTGTGTCACATCAGTAGGTAGGAAAGGACAGTGCACATGCTGTGACAATAATTTTGCTCCTGTGGGGCAGACTGCTCACTGCTGTAGGGCATTTAGAAGACCTGCGAAAGACAATAAAGGACATTCAGCCCTTGAACTTATTAACTTTTTGACCGTGTTGAATGCGCACAGGACTGGGGCCACATGTTGCCTCATGTTTTGGATCTGGTGGAAGCGCAGATGGCGGAGCACGAGGCAGTTGTGCTCCACCAGCATGGCAGACTTGTGAACCGCCACTGGTGCCAATGGGCAACACAGGCAACCAAGCAGCTCAGTCTCAGGTGAGTCTTGGGGTACATTTCTCAAAACGTGCAAAAGTGTTGTCCTTCACAGCAATGAACAGGCAAGTGGGCAGGTGGCAGGCAAATGGTAGGTGAACACAGCAAGTGTTGTCCTTCCCCCGCGCGCGCGTGCACGTGTGTGTGTGTGGGAGAGAAGGGGGGGGATGTCAGGTGTTGTTTGCACATATGAATGGCATTTCCTTGTGGCAAGGTTGTTGAATCTTCACTTCAGAAAGAACTGACTGTTTAAAGGGTCGAATGCTGTTTGAGCACGTAAATTGCGTTCCATGATGGTCCATTTTTTCGATCTCAACCTCAGGCACAGCGCAAAGTTTGGATGGAGACTGGACAGCGTAGCCCATTGCTTCACTGCACTGGAGCGCCTGACCCTCACAGATCCTGTGAAATCAGATCTACCATCGCTCAGCTCTTTCTCTCGCCTCAGTCATCTTGCGATCGAGGGTGGCACCTTTGGCACTGGTGATGCAGTACTCTTGGGCCAGATGACAAACCTTTCATGCCTTGAGTTGATTCGTTGCAGTGGAATCAGGTACGACCTGAGGCTTTCCTCTTTGGTGGGTCTCACAAGATTGCAGCTGTGGCATTGTGATGTAGTTTTGGATCACAGCATCGCTGGCCTGGCAATGCTCCCGGCTCTGACAGATGTCAGTCTCTCTGGCTCTGGGATCTCGAATGTAGGGATCAGCCGCCTGGCAGCAATCACAGGCTTGGCAAAGGTTGCTGTGTCGCCACGGTATAATCTCGTTCACAGAGCTGTCACAGATAATGGGGCCAGGTTCCTGGCAGAGATGACTAATCTGGAGGTGCTAGATATCTCAGACTGCCAGGGCATCAGTAACTATGGGGTGGCGCTCCTGAAGGGTTTGACTAATCTGACAGAGCTACATCTACCAACAGGGGTATCTGATGCTGGGCTGGAGGCACTTGGTGCGCTTACTGCTGTGACACACATTGCCCTCCCCGATGAACTTTCTGACGATGGCTTCAGGTTTTTGTCACACTTCCCCAAGTTGTCCAAAGTTAGTGTGACTTTGAGCAGAAGCGTCTCCTGCACAACTGTAAAGAGTATTGCCGACTTGGAGTGCCTCGTTGACTTGAGCATTTTGAGTAAGTCATGCATCACCAGGGATGGCTTTGATGCATTATCGGCACTGACAGTGCTGACCGCTTTAAATATTGGCCCAGTGGGAGGAGATTGGAATTTCCAGTCGCATTACGAGTTGACCGACATGGACAGCATGGCGGCTCTGACAAATTTGAGAACCCTGACCCTGTGGCACCCTTCCAGAATGAGTGTGGACATCAATTTTATGGCAATGTTGACAGGCCTGACAAGACTGCGAATCTCTCCTATATATTAGATCACAGATGCTTGTCTGCAGGTCAGCGGAGACTTTGCAGCAGTTGGCGAGTTGTTGTTGAGGCCTCACCGCCAGGTCGCAGACGTTGGCGCGCAGGTGCTTGGGAATCTGTCTGCTCTCTGTTTCGAGTTTGGCAGAGTGTGGAGGGGTTTGCAGCATTGGGATGAAGCGCCTGGCGCATTTGCGGTCAGGTCGATGACTGTTCGATGCTGAGTCCTCGGTGAGGGTATGGTGGGGGCAATGGAACTAGGCCACAAACGCATGCATTAGCCAAGGAGTGCAACACTCCATGTAGAGCTGTGTGGAAATTTTGGGGCGTGTCGCTGGAAGCACGTCTAGAAGCTGACACAATGCATATTGCGGGAATATTTTGCCACATTTGTCAGAAAGTGGCAATGTTCTTTTGTACGTCGACCCGCCCGTTGAGACATTGGTATGTTTGGTGTTATTGTTATTCCTGTCCTTAGTTTTCTGTTGTGTCCAGTTTAATATCATGTTGGCGAGGTTTATGAGTAGCCAATATCTGGGGAACACGCACTGGACAACCCACGGTCACCCGTGATCGCGATGCAGGAGCAAGGGCCTCGCCTTCCAAATGCGACAAATGCAATCAAGGAGAAGTCAGCAAAGAAATGCCTTGCACATAGAAGGTGATGTTGGGTGTGACAATTAGTCCGTTACTGCGCGCACGCAGAATCAACAAATTGGATCCACCAATTCACCAGGCACGGGGCATCAGTCGTATAACAATGTCTGAGCACACGGCCTGGGAAAAGATAAAAGAATGAGAATAAGATTACAATAAAAACATAAGTAGGTAAGAGCACAATTAAAACAAGAACATAAATAAATGTATGGTGAGAATAAGAGTACAATAAGAATAAGAATAGAAGGACGCAGGACATCATAAAGTTCATGTATGTGTACGAGTCGCCATCTGCCACAAGGTGCCAGGACACCCCTTTGTCTTGTCGAACTTCGACAAGACGCCTCCAAGGCACTTTTAAACTAAGGACTGCAAACTGGACGCGTAATGCGATAATGATTCTGCTTCACGGGTTGCTTCACAATGGCGTGCGTGTTTCCGCAGGGCAAGGCAGTGCATTCCCACTCCAGATTGGAGTCCATCACCTCGTTGCACAACTTCTGAAGCACACAATCAGCAATTGCCTCGCCTCGCAGCGGCCACTCCTTCGCCACGACATGCACGACGCTGTGCATGTGCTCACCGTCCGCTCATGGAACGAGCTCGTCAGGCGCGGGCGCCAGCAGCCAAAGATGCCACCACAAGTGAATCTCAAAGGGAGGAAACTTGAACTCTTCACGTGAGCGAATGAATCTTGCCCTCATACAGACGATTGTTGCCCCAAGCCCCTCGCATGCAGGTCCTAGCCACTTGCGCACGTTTCTGGACATCACAAACTTAAACATGTGGGCACAATTTCGCACGAGGCAACCCCTGGAGGTTGCCCTTGTCACCGTCTCCTTTTGATCAAACATTGTTATGTTGTTAAGCAGTTCACCAAGGTGCGTGTCTTCCACATATTTCTCAGCAAAGTAGAGTGCCGGTTTCAGTGCCGTCACCCTACGGCTCGGCGGTGAGTCGACCGCCACTACAATGCTGAAGTGAGTCTCTTCATCCAAATGCAAAGCTTGCCTGCTTTTCCAAAGACAAGTATGAGGATCGGTAATTTTCAGCGCTGCCTTGTATCACCTTTTCTTACCTGGAAGGGTGTTTAAACGAACTTTGCATTCCATACTATGGAATCCACTGGTCGCTCTAGGCGGGAGCGAAATAGGACAAGGGCTGGGGCGCCCACTGGTGTTGAAGGGAACGCCTGAGTTGGGCAGTCCCGCAGTTCTGAGGGATACCCCTAAATTGGGCACACTCGTCGCCTCGAAAAGTCCGACACCTCCAAGGGCTCCAATGTTGGGCATCGAAAGTTAACTTGCAATAACCATATTTGAAAAGACTAAATGCCTGTGACTTGCCCAGGCCAATGGCGGGGTGGCACAGAAACCGAAAGGAATGGCCAAACGCCCAGTGGGTCGCTCCACAGGTGCGTCAGCGCAGACGGTGGCTGGTGTCGGTCGGCCACACATGCAAACAAATATCCAAAGCTCGCATCAATCTGAGCTGTATCTATTTGTCAAAAGCCTGTGGAAGCACCGCACTTGCATCCATTGGGCGATGCAGGGAGCCCGTCACCAGCACGCGTCGTGTTCACCAACGAATGCCCGCTGGAGCTAAGCTTCTGCCACCGCGGAAAGCTTTCCTGCCGAAGCTTCAAGACGTAACGTGTCCCCACTATGTGGGGTCAATGCATGGGTGCCACCAACATTCAATTGTGAAGCTTTGTGGTGCGCTGATATTCGTGCCTTTCCTCGGTGTGCATGGTACATGTAAGGCTTGCACACCCATTAAAACGCGTAATCAACGCACCACGAATTCCACGCTGTTGGGAAAAGTGGCACAAGTGTTAGCACTGCATAGTACTTTGTTGTGCCAATGTGTCCTGAAAAGTATGAAGTTCACCCACATACACTTGTCAAACCTGGTCAACCAGGTCAACGCACCAAGCCTGACGAGCTGGCGCCCCGTCAGCCCAATGCGGGTGTGACAAATGCACACAGCGGAATGCGCTGCGCGCCCAATCAAGCGCTAATGTACTAGCCGTCGTCGCCGGCGGTTGGGCGTGGTAAATGCAGCGAAGCGGTAATGTACTGCTGGCCGTCGTGGCAGCGGCTGATGTACTGTAGAAAACAGATGGGCAAGAGCGGGGGGTGGCACCTTGCGCGCTATCTCACCCCGAGGCTGCCCGAGGCCACCGAGCGCCGCGACGGCAGGGCGGCGAGGCCTCTCTTCAGATCGCCCGCTTGCCAAAGACGAAAGGGGCCGAACATTTTGTGGGGTCCTCTCGCGGATTGCGCCTGGATTTTTGGCGGGAGGCGTGGGCGGAGATCGGGGATCCGCTTGGACGTCGGCTGGGGTAGTTCGGGTCGTCCTGGCGGGTAGGCCGGCCGCCTGAACCTGAGAGTGTCCTGAAAGAAAGAGCATCCGACGGGAGGAGGGACGGAATTCTGTCACGGTCTGGCGGTCTTGAATCCCGCCGCTGATTCTGCATCGGCGGGCTCTGGCGGGGCCAGTCGTCCGGCCGCGTCGGCCGGAGGCCAGGGGACCAATCGGCATCGCTCCGCGTGCCCGTGGCTTCGATCCAACCGCCGATTGAATCCGGGTGGACATCCTCCCAGCTCTGCCCGTGGGGCACGCGCCAAGGGGCAGATCTTTCTTTCTCTTCAGATCCTTTCGTTTTCGCCAACATTTTGCGCGATGGCCAGCGCGCATGCGCGCCCCGCGAGCTTCCTGGCCTCCCTGCTTGAGGGTGCCGACGGCTCGGGATTCAGAACGACCACCCAGCTGGATACTTATGCGTCCACATGCCGCGAGTCCAGCGCCAAGCTGGCCTCAATCTGGGACGACGTCGGGGTTCCCAGAGATGAGCAGGATGCGCAGGTGGCGCAAGTTTGGGCGGCGGCCATCGAGGTCTGGACCAATGCGGTCCTAAGGGCCGAGGCTCAGCGATCCGCGCTGGCCGCTCGAGTCGAAGACACGCTGCGCGAGGTCGATCTGCTGAGGGAAGAGATGGGCGAGGAGCTGCCCGCGGACAGCCCCGCGATTCGAGCACGGGATCGCGGATGCTGCGATGGATTGAGGTTGGATGGGGTCCTGGGGGGTAGCCTGAGGGCGAGGTATGATGGATCTGTGGCCCTGCTCGAGGAGTGGCGGGGAAAGAGGGAGGCGAGGTTAAGGGAGTGGGCGGACCTGCAGGCAGAGACCTACGCGCTGAAGGCGCGGCTGGGCCACCCGGCGCTGCCCAGCACGCCGTCCAAGCACGCAAAGGTGGGAGCACGTGTTGTTGGGAGGCAGCTTGCTAGGCGCCAATCCCGCTTTTCGGCCGGTTTGGGGACATTTTGAGAGGTCTGAGGGGATTTGGGGGGGGCACCGAGGTGGGGAAGGGGCGGGCGTTGCGGGCCATGATCGCGCATTGCTGAATGGGCGCCGGGCGCGTTGCGCAAAGACACCGTTTGCTCGCGAATCGCGCTTGCCCTCCTCGTTCAAGGAGGTTTAATGGCACGGTGGCGGGGTCGGCGGAGTTGTTCGGTGCGCATCGCTGAAAGAGCCCCGACCGTGTTGCTCAAAGGGACGGTTGTGATCGTCCCCTATCGCGGGTCGGCCCTCTCTCGCCCAGAATCGATGCGCCGTCTCTGTCAGCGGGTCGAGGCTGGTCGGGGATCGAGCCGGTCGCCCATTGCTTCGTGCCCTGATGCCGATGCCATGGCGCCGCGATTGGACGGGCCCACTCGCTTGCCTCTCCCGTGTCGCGCCGAATGCCCTCACGATCGCCGCGAGGGGCTCTGACAAGTGGCCGACGCCCGGCTTGGCGACTCTGATTGCGTTGGCTCGTCAACTGTGAATGGCGTCGAGGCGAGCCCGACGATTGGCCGGGTCGATCTCTTTCTGGCTGTGTCGTCGCTGTGCGCGCCACTCCTGCCACCGCGCAACAAAGTTGTCGCAGCGACCCCGGACCGTGGTTCCCTTGCCGTCACCGGCATCCTGGGTGGTCAAATTGTTGCCAACAAAACTCACTTTTGCCCAATCATGCCCTGGAGCGACTCCTGTCCATCGCAGGCAGATTCTGCCCATTGGCATTCCCGTTGCTGAGTTTTGCTGTGTGGAGGAATGAACGGAGAAAACAATGCTCTAATACTCTGAAGAGTCAAAAGGCAGTGCTGGAGTTGATATTGTGCCACGCAAGGCAAGGGGTAACGCATTGTTCAGTGCCCTTGGATGCACCAACCCTTCCCAAAGTTACGAAGCCTGTCAGAAAGAAAAGCATTTCCGTCCATTTGCAGCCCATCGCCCCCACCCCCACCCCACCCCCACCCAGTCGAAAGGAATGCATGCATGGATCTCCTGCATCCCATGGCAGATGATACGAATATCATCAATAGAATGCAGATGGAATGCAATTCAGGCTAGTATCAGCAAAGAGAACGCAAACATCAGACACACATGCATCAGTCCTGCTGCATGTTTCCTTGAGGAAAATATGCCTCTTCAACTCTGCACAAACCTGCATCAAATTTCAGCATCACTATTTCCAGCACAAGGGAAAACTGGGCAGTCCTGTATTGCACACAAATCGAAATGCAGAATGCCAGTCTAGACACCAAACATGGCACTGGATGTTTGGGAACGACATGTGCATGTGTGTGCCAGCAGGCAGATATCACGCGTGCCAACATGGAGTACCTGCGTGGCGTGCTGTCAACATGCCACGCTGAGCGCATCCGCAAGGAGAGGGACCTTGAGGCCCTGCTTGGGACCCTGAGGAAGCTGTGCACAGAGCTGGGTGAAGATGATGTTCAAGCTGCCAGTGCCACACACCCCAGCCTGGCGTTATACTGGCAGGTGGACTTGAGCATCTCATCCCAACTGGATCTCCTTTGTCTCATATGGTCAATGAGTCATAATTGCATATTGCGTTGTGCGATATCATACTGAATCATACCACATCAGACCATCTCGTACTTTGTGACGCTGTATGGTTAAATGTACTGTGTGACAAGACATCGCACCATGCTGCATCGTGTTACATCGGTTGTACCATCTTGCCTTGTGCTCGTCTCTTGGGAATTTCTGTGGTGAATTGAACTGGTGTCCACTGACAAATGCTGTGAATTGAAGTATGCCCACCAGCACCTGCAGATGCAAGGGCAGTGCTCCTAAATATACTGGGAAGTTTGACATGACAGTATAAAATATCTGGGTGGTTTAGATTCCTTCGGAATGGGCAGCAGCCAATTGGATGGCAGCAAACATTGCATTCACTTGCTGTCACTGTTGGGCATTTGACAGTACCCAATCTGGTGCAAGGGACTTTGTTTCGAAATGTTGAAGAACTGGAATCCCAGGAGCTCAGAATGACATGGGTTGCCTGTGGTGGCAGTCAAGGGCAGCGCTGCCATCGCGCGGGTCGGGCTTTGGGTCAGGGTCAGGCTCGGAGGCAGTGGATGCTGGGGAGCAGGAGCAGCCAGAGATCGACTTGTGCGATGAGACATTCAATGAGCTTAATGTCAAGATTGACGAGCTGAAGCACCTGAGGTGAGGGCTGCTCATCCTGACAGCACACTGACCTTCCCACACTTTCTTGGCACTTTGTCATTGCAGTCCAGTACTTTAATCAGCATTTACAGACCCAGGGTTCAAGGACCCCAAAACATGCCATTTGCGTGACCTGGCAAGATTCTGTGAACCACACTTGCTTGACTTCTGTGCCATGCTTTGCATCACCACTGGACACAATCAGTGCAGCATAAAATTGACGCATTGTACATCAAAACTGTACTATTTGCTTCAAATCTGCTGCCACTGGGGAACATCAGCACACAACAGAATTCTCAGCCCTCGACACCATTATTTCAGGGGCCTATCAGAACATCTGGGGAGAGTGGCAAATGCTGTGACAATTGCTGCTATTATTCACCTGTACAGATGTTCATTGCTGTTCATTAAAGACAGTTTGTCTAGACAGTCTGTCTCAGTTTGTCTGTGTTTGCTTGGCTATTCATGAGCATATCAATGCACTCTGCAGCAATGCTTTCCTCTTTTTTACTTCTGTCATTGCACCTCTAACTCCAGCGCACTATATGCTCCAGTACTTTAACCATTTCTAATCTTCGATCCAGGGACCTTAGGGATCAGCAGTCCCGCGACCTGTCGGAGCTGCTGGAGAGTCTGTGGGCTGCACTGGACACGCCCGATGATGACATCGACCGCGGCATCTTCACCCGCCTCATGGAGGGCTCCTCGCGATTGCATGCACGATCCATAGAGCAGGGCATGGCGGAGGTCAGCAGGCTGGAGCAGTGCAAGACACAGCACCTAGAGGACAGGATCAACGAAAAGGTGAATTGCCATTTATTTGCAATATGCTGCAGTAATTTCTGGCTTCAGTTAGTTTGTCAGTTCTGAACTTTGTTACGTACATCAGAAGTATCAATTCTGTTTGTTTTCTGTTTTTATCATTTCAGCTTCCTGATGGTAGTTTTTTCTGACTGTGTCCCAATGATTGCCATAATTGCATTCATTCCAAAGATTTTGAGGAAAGGTGGAGCCGTCACGTTGTTTTTGGTGTGGGGCCTGTGGAAATACTCATTTACAGCTGTTCCGTGTCCCAAGGCTGCAGTTACCTCCACCACCGTGTTGTGCAACGTGAAAGGACGGATCAGCGACTTGGCAACAGAATCCTGCGACAGTGTGGCAAGAGTCCTCACGGCTCTTGTGATGGATGGTTCCAGGACAACCTTGCAGTATTGAACATTTGATGCAACATTCATAGTAAACGTCTAAAGGATATGGTTTTGGGGGGAACCCAAGTAATTAAACACGGTGTAAGTCATAGCGGAGGGAGCTGTGGATGGGGTTCGTACCAATCGGACCTTGGGTGTCAAGGTCCACCTGCCCAAGCCTGCTCCGCTGCACCCAAACTGTTGCATGCATCACGATAAGCACAATGTGCTGTTGTCAATTGATATCTGACAATATTGATTTACGATTAACCAAGCAGATTCATAACTCAAAGTTGAAAGACTAGTGGGCACCAGTTGACAGCTATGTGACGTCACCACCAGGTCATCGACCTCCATAAGCTGTGCAGAGGGACCCATCCATCCATTAATGAATCAACAGTTATTCAATGGCTGTTAACTGGTCAACGCAGTTACTTTTGCCTTGTCGATTGTCAATAATTCATTGCAGTTTGCAGGGCCAATACATTTTTAAACGCCTGATAACTCTGGGGATCTGCAGATCATCGACCTGCAGGAGCTGTGCATCGAGACCCACCTGCCCATGCCTGACCTGTCCCCCCTGCTGGGGCCTGGCTACGATCCCACTGAGGGCTTCCAGGCCAGCGAGTCGAACGTGGGCCAGATCGCCGATGTGATGGCCAAGATCTCACGCATGGTGGTGGAAGTGCAAACGATCGTCACCCGCCGGTCACCGATCATCGGCATGATCATGGACCTGGAGGCGGCAAGGGAGGAGGCTGATTGGCTGCACTCATATGAGAATGATGGGGACAGGTAATTGAGCAGCAGGTGGGCATGGTTTTACGACTTGTGCACTTAATTTCTTGTGGGGAACAGTGCCAATGGTTCTGGAGACATGGTGGTAAAGCGAAGTGCAAGTGAGCACTGAGCATTGTATCAAAGCTTCTGGAAGATTCTGGTCCAATTGGAATCCAATGAGTAGGGAAGTGCATATGTCCGAGAAAGCATGGGAGATGGGCATTGTCAATGGCTGGTCCATGGAAGAGAGAACAGGAATGGGGAACAGTCAAGACCAGTACTACACTGAATGTGCATGTTTGGCATTCTGTTTTTTTGCGGAATCTTCTGCTGCCAGTTCCCTATGGACTGGCACTTGTGCGACACTATGCAGATAAATGCAGATTCCCACATTTGCACTGGGGCAGGTACAAGGGGCGGGACTGCAATCGGAAGCTGCAGCGGGCGATCAAGGCCGGTCGAATTCGGGACAGAATGCCAGAGAAAGTGGAGGAGCTGAGGGCGCTGATCACGGAGTGGGAGCAGGTTGGGCCGGATGTCTGGCATGCATGGGATGCATTGCCATCGTGAATTCAGCGATTCCATGCAATGATCCCCGTTGTTTTGTTGGTGTTCACTGGGAAAAAAAGGGCCAAATAACACATGTTCAAACGTGTACAACGTTTACGGGTTTGTGTTGTTTTGTGCTTGTAGCATGCAGAACACTGATGAAATGCATACATATGTCTTCGCAGAACTTGTTATTTGGTCCTTTTTCTGCTAGTGGTTCCTGCACTACAGCGGGGCAATAATGAGCAACAGACATAATGCTTGCAATGTCACATAATATGTACATACAATTAATCATCACATGTGGATTAATAAGCATAGTGTTTGTAGTAACGGATAATGGAGTGACTTTCAGACATTATGCAGTAAAAAGGGAAGCCGTCTACTGTCCTTGTAAATTCTTGTAGATTTTGCACATGCTCAAAAAGTCTTGTAGATTCTTCTGGTAGATTCTCTGAGAGAAATCTCATCGCAGCAAAACCAACATTGAAGGAGCGTTTGACGACCGACGGCAGGAGGAGGGCTGCCCCTTAGTCTTGGAGGACGTCGACTACAATGATGAGCAAATTAGCTAAATGTACAAATGAATGGAAACATAAAAAATGTACGTAACGTGACATAAACTGCACATACAATTGACCACTTACGTGAAGTAACTGATGCGGCACATTGGCAACGAATGTTAAACTGCTAAATTGACTTCCAGATACGAAGTAGTCAACAACAACTGCAGAAAAGGCTGATCGCAGCAAAACCCACACTGAAAGTGGATTTGACGGCCAACTGCAGGAGGAGGGCTGCCCCTTCATCTTCGAGGACGTCGACTACTGCACCACCATGCTGGACGCCGTCATGGAGGAGTGGAACGCGCGCATGGCACAGCGCGCTGCTGGCCGCGCCAACAGCCGGGCCGCCCGCAGGCGCACGCCCCAACAGCCGACCCCCCACGCCTCTGGCGGTGGAGATAGAACGCCCAGGGGCCAGGCATCGGCGGGGCAGGGGGAGAGGACGCCGCGGGAGGGGGGCAGGAGGGGTTGGGGCGGCGCCACGCGGCTGAGCAGCGCGAATGTGCGGACGCTGGAAGCGAGTCAGGCGGAGAACACGGTGCACGAGAAGGTGGGGCTGAAGGCTGGAGGGTGTAGTGTCAGGAAATGGTGGCCCGTGCTGGTCATGGTCATCGTTCGTTTTTGCAGCTGCGCTGGTCATTATCGTCATCATCATCGTGCATTGTTACACGACATGGCGGTGAGGTAGCCGGCGAATTTGTTACCCCAGAGCAGGCTGTGCCGGTGGCTGTCATATCGTTTCGTTTACGTTCTCCGCGTGACAGTGCAAGTGCCAAGGGCGAGATTGGCAGTGTAGGCACTTCGCTGATGTGCTGTGTCGACGTGCCAGGGTTGAGCATTGAGTTGATGTGCCGGAACGCTCTTGCTTTCGCCAGTTCTGGCCGTGTTCTGTTGTTGGGGATATCAGTGTGCCAGCAGTGCTTCGGTCGTTCATTTCACCTTGGGTGTCAACGACAGGATTGCCAGGGACCTTATGGCGCCGTGTTGGCGACTACGCATCTACGCTTAAGTACGGGCACAGGAACAAATATTTTGGTGTTACTAGTCTGACTCCCAAGGCCGCCTGTTGTATGCTATTTCCAGTCAGTTCTGTCTGTTTTGTTCGATTTTTTCAAGTAGCGACTGTGTGTTGATTTTTCTGTTACGCCAAATGTTGTGGGCTTCTCCCAGGTCACCAAAATAGTGGATGCCGTCTACAGACGGCGTCAACTCTTGGTTGGGAAAATTGGTGTAAGCCGGAGCAGTTTACAATACTTGAACCATTTTGCCCGAAAGGGTGATCTGATGATCTGAACTCAGGAGAGATGCGCGGCATGGCCAGCGGTTAGTTGTCCAACTTGCTTTCATCATTCACAGCTGAAATGTCCTCTCCAATCCGTGGCTAATGGCTGATTTGCTCAAAGGACTGGCTGGCTTTCACCAGCAGGAAACACCTGTCGTGCGACGCCAATTCTGATGCCATTTAGCACTGACTGATGCCATCACAGCTGCTTGTATGTCGTCTTAATCACTGTGATGCTGCCACTGTTCTTCAAAATTACATCACAGTTGGCATCACCCAAATGATGTCCTCTGCACGTGTTTGCAATTCGCAAACTGCAATCCTGCTCGAGATGAGCAGGTTCTTCAAGGTTCGTTGGATCATTCCTTGTGACACGGTTTGACGTGCAGGGCATGTTTGCACGTTTGTATATTTCTGCATTATGTATCTGCTTGTCATTATTGCCATTAGATTGAATTTTTTCAGTATAACAAAACTGTGTATCAGACAGTTCACATAAGTCCAAATAAATTACAACTCAAATTGACAAATCAAAATAGATTTGATTTTATTCCGAATTTTTTCCTTTTCAACCTTCCCAAGGTGAGCAGGATGCTCAAGACGCCGTCTCCGAGCTTGCCTGAGGATTTCGGGGAATGGGCTCTGGCGGAAGCTGGTGGGAAGCAGGGCGGCGAGCGGGCCGCCGTGCCGCGGCTTTCTATTCCTGCCGGCAAGCCAGGTGCGCTATTTTGCGTCATTTCGTGGAGGCGGCATGTTGCATGTATTTCCGACTTTTCCTCCTTTTTCCCAAATTTTCCAATTTTTTTCTTGGGTTTCTTTTCATGCTGCCAGTTCTTTTTCTAATTTATTCCAGTTTGTTGCAGTTGTTCTGTGCTTGTCAGTACTCTTTTTGGAAATTGTGGGCGCACGGCCAGAGTGTTTCGAGTGCCAAGCCATGCACCTCCATCTGAACACCAGGCGCAGTATTTGCAAGGTGCCGAATGTCATTAATGGTAGCGGGTAGCTTAGCAAAGCGGCAGCGAGTAACGGTAGGAGTTCTGGCGAAGTACGACGAACTGGTAATGGTGCCATTAATAGTAGCACCACTGGCAAAGCACAACCGAATGCCAAGTTTTGTACGCCAGTAGAAAACAGCCTGTTTGCGATGCCAATTGCGACGCCATTTGACATAAATTGATGCCATTGCAGCCACTTTTATCCCATCGCAATCACTGACGGCATCAGTTTGTGTCGAAATAGCATCGCAGTTGGCATCGCAGACATGCCATTTTCTACCAGTGGTACCCGCTTTCCTCCCAAGGGGCTTGTGCACAAATGGAATTCCGTTTTGGCGAATTCAAAATTTTTTTGTGTGGTATCTGTTCCTGGAAAAGAAACGCCCTTTCGGGAAGAGTACTGCCCAGTTGCGTACAAGCATATCATTTCAGCAGTGTACTGCATCAATATTGTGCTAGTAGCATACTACGTCAGTATTATGCCAGAAGTATACTACGCCAGTTTTATGCTAGTAGTATGCTACGTCAGTATTATGCCAGGAGCATACTACGAAAGATTTATGCTAGTAGTATACTACGTCAGTATTATGCCAGGAGTATACTACGTCAGTATTGTGCCAGGAGTGTACTACAAATAATAGTGTAGTACAAGTCGTATTGTAATACTTCAGTCGTATGCTAGTATCGTATTCAGTTGCGTAGCATTGTGCTCAGTCTGCATTGGTACTATGATTAGTACTTCTGCTTCGAAATACTTGCCATTGTACTACACTTCTTCCCCGAAATTATCGCGACGGCGACCTAAAGAATGGTAGCCTGAACGAAAATATCGGTAGACATTTTTAAGTTTCATTAATTAATATTGTCAGCTGTGATCACCTTGATCGGTAATTGCACTACTGTTCATCGATCCATCTCATCTGGTTCACTTTGCATCCTGTGTGCCCATTTCCATGGGCTGCCCACTCTGTCGTCGGCCAGGCACAACCCCGCTGGATCAAAAATAGAAGGCATCGAAGTACATTACTGGGTCTCAATGTACGTTGTCTTTGCCTTTGACTATGTCGATCAATGTTTTCGGCAATGCTGATCAATCCATCTCACCTTACTCGTTCTGTGTTTTGTATGCCCATTCTAGAGGCAGGCCCAGCCAGGCGCAAGTCTGCTGGATCACAAATGGAAAACGTCGCCGGGGTCTCCCGGTTTTAGTAATCATTGTTTTTGCGTTTGATCATATCAATCAACATCTTCACCGATGTTGACCAGGCTATCTCATCCAACTCAGTTTGCATCCTGTCTGCCCATGTCCAATGGCATGGCCCCGCTGTCCCACAGCTCCGCCGAATCTGCTTTAGAAAACGCCGACGAACACTTTCTTGGTTTCGATCATCATTGGTATTGACTCTGACTGCATTTGTCAACATTTTCTCTGATTTGATCAATCTATTGCATCTGATTTGATTTGCGTCCCTTGTGCTCATTTCGAAAGGCATGCCCCCGCTGTTCCACAACTCTATCGGCTTGGGCCCCACTTCACAGAACCCCAGTCCGTCTGACGCACCCCCGCCGGACACCCCGCCCACCGCCCAAGGCCCGCCCCCGACGCCGATGACTAATTTGGCCTCGCCTCAGGCCTCAGGGGACGGCGGTGCGGCGGCCACGTCGCCCATGCAATGCGACTCGCCCACGTAGGGAAGGCCGGGACAGCAGAAGGTATTACTATGCTTGCGTTTGCATACTCATTTGTTCAATAATGAACATGACGCAGTTGAATGGGATGTTCAGCGTGGTGTAATAGCGCACTGGCGCTTTTGGCAATGGGGACTGATGGGTTTCCAGACTTGTTTGTGCTGTACATTAGATGTGAATAAACAGATTGCAGACACTGCCCTTCCTGGGGCAAAATAGGGACCCGATGACTGCATCCTTGCCATGCCATGTGAAAGTAAATGATGGCTTTCGTGTGATAGTACACACAATGCACGTGGTGATCATGTATCCCACACCCAGATTTAACCATTGTTAATGCTAATATTCTTGTGTGCTACTTCCTTTGTTCCCTATTTCAAATCTTTGTAACTTACGTGAATGAAGGCCATGTCAAGAGAAACGCCATCTTTGGATAGAAGAGGTGCCGAAACCCGAAGATCACCTCAAATCTAAAAGCGAAATTCCCCGTGGCCCCGTTGTGCTTCGGCCAGGAGGTGCTGAAGGTCGTTGTTCAGACGTCGGTGGCTGGCCAAGCACTTCACAGCCCATTTCGACGACTCTTGCCCCATTGGTAGAAAACAGGCCAGATGACACGGTCACGGCATGGCCTGCTCAAAACCCAACTGCGTCGTTTCAGCAAATGTGCTCCCAAAATCACATGGTCAATACACACATTACCGTGTAGTAACCATGTACCACACGGCTCCTGAGGGTAAAATGCTGAAACTGTGTCCCACACACGGTAATTGCACATTGACCATGTGATTTTGGGTCACATTTGCCGAAACGAGACAATTAGATTTTGAGCAAACCGTGTCATAACGGTGTCATCTGGGTTTTTTCCTGCTAGTGATGAGTGCGCTGACCTTTAAACGAAGTAGCATTGCGAATTCTTAAAGAGCAGCCTTGGCGCTCCGGCTGAAAGAGACCCCTCCACCATGGCGATTTAGGGTTGTTTTGGGGAGCCCATGAAATCTGGCTGCTTTTTGACCAGAATTGAGGGAGCCGAAGCATTGTCAGTTTTCCATTAACCCAAGACAAGATCTAATTTTCGACATGATCACCGGCACTCACAGCTGGAAACCCTAAGGAGTTTTCGCAAATATCCGCATTAACACCTCACCAGATATTTGCGAAAAGTCTTTGGGATTTGTAGCTGTGAGTGCAGATGATGGTGTCGAAAGTTAAATCCTAGCTCGGATGAATTATTGCAGAATTGGCGGTGTAAAGTGGCAAGAACATTTGTTGTGGGAGGGAGGAAGTATTGCCAGCATTGCTGTGCTGTTTGTTCATTTTGTTTGTGCATAACTTATTTACATTCTTGTGCTACCAGAATGCCGACTTGTATGTTTACCGCACCCAGAGATGCGTCTGCACCTGGCCTCCTAGTTGTCTTCTGCGCTGACGACCTGTTTCTGCGCTAAGTACTGTGTTCTTCACTCAGAACTGTGAATACATTCAGTACACCTAGTTCAATTGGGTGCACTCGAGGACTTGGGGACACTGAGCTATGTGTTGAGCGCTGAGTTTTGCACTAATTGTGTGGCCTCTTCTGGTCAATCGTGTGCGTATGTGCCACCGGTGCCCAGTGCTGCAGTGCCCATCCGGTGTGACAGCAGGATAGACACTGGTGGATGACGAAATGAGCTTATGCACTGGGCTGATGTTGGAAACTAATTGTACTTGTCATATGCATTATGGCAGAATGAGGTGCTGCTGCGAAAGGTGATGGCTGCTGCCCTTCTCACAGCTTGTGCTTATAACGCCTTTAGCAAGGGCCTTTGAGGCTGCGACTTGATGACAAAGAGCACCACATGGCAACAAGAACAGATCCTGATAGAACTTACGAGATCATTAGGTCCTAAGCCCGCACTCATGGTCCAAGCGCTGGCAGCTGGCCACGTATGGCGTGCGCAATGACTAACGCTGCTGCAATTTGCATCTGTTTGCGATTTTCTGTTTTTGGAGGTTTTGCAAATTTGTACATGTATTAGCATGGCACACTGCGGGCTCTTTTTAGCACAAAAGTTCCGGCATGGCAGAGGGGCAGCGCATGGGGCTGAGCTGGTGCAGGACCATGGGCGCCCTAGCCATTAATCAGACCTGCTTGTATTTGGTCTGTGGCGTGCTGTACACAGACTGCACTAGCACAGGATGGGACTCTCAGCTGTCAGGGGGAGTAGGAAATGCCAGAAGAGGAACCACACTTTTGAACTGGGTCGACGTCCTACACTTTGTAGGATCGCATTTTTGATGACATTGTCGTCATTGGGAGGCGGATGCCGACCCGATGATTGCTTTTCTATATAGCCAGAATATAGCCACAACAAGCGCATGTAGGGGGATGCAGCATGCAATGGGCGGTGCATCAATGGGCTGATGGGGCCCTCGCTACTCAACTTGGTGTGAAAAGTAGAGTCGTATGGGTTGACCGAGGGGCACAGACGGCAGCAGCCACTATTTTTTATTTCAAGGGGATAAGGCACACTGGTCCTCCAATAGCAGGCCTGGACGGCTGCCATCCGCGTGCATCTACGGATGCTTCTGTGCGCATCAGCTTCGCGTGGCTCTGACATGGAACGAACGCAGCGTGGCCTTTCTTGCATCGGCTATCAGCAGGTTAGATGGCTGCCGCTTTGGTGGGATGAAACGCATGATGCAGTGGGCGCAGTCAGCAGGGCGTTGCCATTGGGAGTGCCCTCATCGGTTGGGCATTCACTGCAACGGGACGGGGGGAATATGTTGAACAATGGGGCACCTCTCCTGAGCGAAAAGGGTGGTAGTGTCGTCTGCCACGAGGGCGACGGATGGAGCAAGGGTCCCCTCCTTTTAACGCTTTTCGCTGATGGTGAAGAAAAATGATCGGTTTGGGATTGGCGGGGATCGGCAGCGCGAGCTGGTCTTTGAAACGAGCGGCTGGACGAACGTGGCACTGCCTGCATTGCGATAGTGCTGAACTGGTTGGACGCTGGCTGGAAATTGAGCTTTTCTTCACGGGAGCTTTCGTCCAAGTTTCTTTACGGACATGGTTCATAGCGTTTACTTTCCTTGCGTGTGCTATTATGGCGTAACAGTTCTGTGCGCTATTGCGATGGTGGCGTTGCATTGAGTGATTGGGGGGTGGGGGGTGGGGGGAGGGGGTACACAGCACAGGCCGCTTCCTGTTGTCTTTCTGTTGTCACAGGGTGGGATGGGGGGGAGGGGGAGGGATCCAAGGGGAAGCCAGCGGTACCCTGCAGGGAAGGTGCCTGCGCCAGGACGAGTCATGCAATGAGTCATTCCCGATTTCTCTTGACCTTTCAATAGAAAGGAGGGAAAGGGCGAGAATAAGACGTCAACGTGTGAGCCCCACCGTAGGATCTGGTTTCTGTCTTCTAGATGGGACCCTTTGGGGTATCGAACGATTCTGGGCTCATGCTTTTCTATGAGGTATCTGGCTGCTTACATACCTTCCAGAAGTATGCATTGTGTGCAAACAACAGTGCTTTCGGGCAAAGTGCATAGAAGACTCATTGCTCAGTAGCTTAGTGTACTCGCTTCAGTACAGTTAAGTGCTCCCTGTATTGTAGCTGCTCAGTGCTAGGGCCAATACTTTGGCCTTCAACCCACCTGGCCTGAAAAGAGCTGCCCCATGAATGCCTGGCGCTTCTGCAAATCGCATATGTCTCTACTTCGCCAGGCATGTGTGCTGCACAACCCCTGCAAAAAGATCAGAAACCTGAAGGAAGCAGGATTTAGTGACATTAATTGTTGATAAGACAAGTCGCTGTCAACGCCACCCTGGCGAGGAGTGCATGGATGCAGCACGCACGTGGAAAAATGGTGGACGTTGATGCAATATTGTGTGTGGGGCATTATTGATGCAACGCCAAGCAATGGTGCAACGAGGCGAGAATATATTACTCCCCGTTCTTGTTTGCTGAATTTCTGTTCTTGTTCCGCTGACAAGGCCAGTCCCGGTGCGTGGATCAGTAGTTGGGGTTTAGGGTGTCCGAAAACAAGAACCGAAATTCAGCAAACAAGAACGGGGAGCAATTTTATGCCCAAGGAGGCAGTGTCTCAGCGCCGGTGCTACGTTCGCACACACGTCAACGATTGTCAATATTGACACATGAGCACTTGCTGACCATTGCTCGGCAAGACATTAATGGCGACGCATCCGCAAGATTGCATCAACATCCACTGATTTTTCGTGACATTGACTGTCATTGCATCGTGGACTGAACGGATGGCCTGTGTTGCGGGAATGGTGCTCTCAAGTGGTTGGACTACTCCCTCCGTTGCCCATGGCCAGGTGGTTTGATGGAGCACTGGGACATTCCATCACAGGTACTGTACACGGTTCGATGTCCGCTTCAGTCATCCTCTTTACCATGCATTTCAAAAGCCTGGCAGTGAAGGGGCTTCCTATTTGGGCCCGATGTCGTGTTCGGAACTCTGTTCCGTTACCTCCAGCTCGCTGCCCAGCCGCTGCCGCGAGACAGCTTCCCAGTGGGGAGCCGGTCATCGACCCACCAGCAACGCGCCCCCAGAAAAAGGATACAACAATGTACTGTACAGTAGTTAGCCTCGCGCCACTGCATTCCAAAGGAGTGTTCAGCACGACATTTCCACAAGTAAACAGGCTCAATCGCGCAGCGAGTCGACTGAGCGCACTGTACTGGACACTGCTCGGCCTTGTGCCACTATTTCCAAGGAGTGTCTAGCACGGCATTATCACAGGTTGACAGATTCAAGCTCGGGGAGAGCAGACAGAGCGAGAGTACGACATTGACCTTAGAAAGGAACCATCCCTCGTGGGGTGCCGCGAGTCTGTGTCGACGCCTCTGGGCGCTGCCCGCCCGCCCGATTCGGCACCGGTGATGGTCGTCAAAAAGCCAAGCCAGTCGGGCTCGGGGAGCATTTAGCCCTCGGGACGCATTTAGCCTCCCATGGCCCACGATGTCCTAAACCGCATCAAATCGAAGCCAGCCTCAAGCCTCAGGCAGATCAGTGCTCAGGCACGCAAAGGCCGCTCGTCGCGTGGAAGCGGCGTACGCAGGGCATCGCCAAGCGGCGGGCAACAGGGCGGGGCGCGAAACTCGAATCCAAAACTTCAAGGGCTTGGGGTTCGAAGAGGCGGGGAGGCGGGAGAGCGGCAAAGGTTGGGTGGTGTCCAAACGAGGCGAGGATGGGGTTGATGGGGTGGGTGGGCGGGGGGATCCCCAGATTCTGTCGGGGCTTTCGTTGAATCGTCGTAGCTACTTGGGGAAGAGGGGCCCGCCGCCCGAAATAGCCGCACGATTTATGCAGTGGGGGGTTTGGGTCGAGCGGATGCCGAATAAGCCCGGCCGGCGCCGCGATTGGCGCTGGCGGATCGGCCTTCGGGTCGTCGCGGGCCTCGCGCGTCGCCTTGGCCCCGCGGCGGCGAATAGTTGGATCGATTTTATTCAGACGCCGGCCCTCCGAATAGTTTGATCGCCGGGAAGAGGAGTTGGCGGGGGATTGAATTCGCGACGGCGGCGCTCCGGGGGCGTCGATCGGTGATCGGCGTCAGCGGGAAAGTCGGATTGCCGCGGCCTGCCGTACAGTCCGGGCTTTGTCCAGATTCTGTCGCGGGGCGCCATCGTCGGGCTAGCGCCGACGACACCCCGAGAGGTTGGTAGGATCGATCGGATCCCGGGGCCGGCGCGCTCGACTCAATTTGGCTTTTGCTTGACGTTGGCGACGATCGAGGGGGATCGGCGCGGGGGTGTTCTGTCGTCGATCCGTCGCGAAACGGCGTTTTGGGCGTCTTGAACGGGTGCAGGTCCCGTGGGTTGAGTCATGTCTCGGTCCCGAGCCCTGGCTCGAGACCGGGGTACATGGCCTTTAGCGGGACCCCCAGCGCCGCGGCGCTCTTTCGTTCGATCGGCGATTCGAATCAACGCCTGGATGTTGCGGATTGTTTGTTTCCTTTCATTGGGCGCCCATCCAGTCACGTGTGCTCGCCTCGCCCTTGGAGACTCTGTCTTCCGAGGCTTCTGCGTAGAATCTTTCGTGTTGCGAAACGGTGCTTCGGCGTGTCGTGGCTGGGCAGAATAGGTTGCCCCACTCGCGGGCTTGCTTCCATCCCTTCCGTTGCAATGCGCCTTGGCCTCGTCCGGGACGCTAGGGTTCATGGGCCCCCAATTTTGGTTCCCGCTGATCGCGCCAGGTGGCTGCTGCGCAGTCGATCTCGAAGGGCGCGATAGCGTGATTGAGGGCAAAGGGACCGCTTGATTCGGTGCGGGAGGTTTGGCCTTTGGGAGTGGAAGATTCGTGGCACTTCAAAGAAAGCAGGTCGTAGAATGGGCACCACTTCCCGAGCGAGTGGCTGTGGATCTCTTCTTCATGCTATGAATTGATGATGCAGAGTTTTGCATTGCGAGAATATGATTCGTTGGGAGGGTGCAGGTCGCTCGAAATGATGCAACACGAGGAAAAAATGGGGGGAGAATTGTTCAGGTCTGGGCAGTTCATATCGGAAATTGAAAATGCCTGAAAGGGAACTGGGAGGGGGAGCGGGACTGATGGTTGTCAATAATGCACAGCCATTAACTTGGCAATCGTCTGAGCGGCCGAAACCCTCTCCCTCCTGACTTGTGTGCCCTGTCCCCTGCTGTAGGGTGCACACCTGTTACGATTTGCCACGTGCTGCCAATCAACATGGACCAGGTGTGTACTTCTTTTCAGCGAATTTCTGCCCTGAATTCACATCCACTGCATTGGCAGCATGCTTTGCCAATGCTTGGGCCCCAAGTGCAATCCCATCCACCGGCCAGCAACGTCTGTTCATTGACCTCACACCTCACATTTTCATGAATCAGGTTCACAGAGCCCAACGAACCGAGCCCAACAATTTGATTTCTTTTCTCACCCCCATTGACAGCCAATGGTGTTCATTGCCCTTAGGTGTTTTTTTTCATGCCTTCCCAGTGGTCCATGTTTATCCCACCAGTATCTTGGATCATGTGACACCATGTGCGCGATCGCGCTGGGCATGATGCTGTAGGATTGGGGTTTAGGGGAATCCCGGTGATGGGGAAGGCGTCCTGCCACCCAAAATACCCCCATTTGCCCTAAAGGACCATCTCAGACAAAATGGATCCAAGGTTTGATGCTGAGCAACGCTTTGATGCACCCAATTTGCCCAGAAGCAAGGCAATTCTGCCTTGTACCGTAGGGCCATAGTAACGGGTAGTGGTGCATGGCTGTAGCAAACGGTACTTGTCGCACATGGCTGTGGTGCATGGCTGGCGAGGAATACCATCCTGGAACAAATTCTGTGAAGGGAATGCATCAGCCATAGCCTTGAATGTGTAGTGCAGAGCTTTTGTTCTGTGTTGTGAAGGTAAACTCGCAGATGAGTATATCCTAACAGATGACACAAACAGGACATTGCGAATGTATGATGTTTGTAATGTTAGTGGCATCTGCAACACTCATAAAATTCACAATGTGCAGAATGTGGAAGAATGAAGTTCTTCTGAAGACATGTCATTGGACAGCATGAATCTGCCAGCTGTCCACAAGGCCTGAGCAATCCCATTCGAAAATGAGTCCTAGTTGTCAGAGTTGATAAGGCATGCAGGTCGCTGGTAGATGCAGCACTGCATTGAATCGTTGAAGCTGTTTGCTATGTTGTGTTTAACCAATAAAGTGCATTAAGCTCCAGTTCATTGCGCCCTTGTCCACTTCTTGGGAGTTGGCTTCCACAGCATTCCCCTGCCTTGGGTCTACCCCAACATCGTTGCTCAACACGGTTCTTACTTGATGATAAGACCACTTGTTGGTAAAACATTTTTGTCCACATCTTATCCAATTCATGGTGCTGTTGTGCAGATTGCAGCAATTGAAAACGCTTCAAGCACAGAGTTAAAATGAGGGAATGGCCAGTTTCTTGAAAATAGCCCATCAATCTGTCGATCAATGCAAGTGCTTACTTCTAGTTTTCGTTCGCTTACATCGTTCATTTTTGAATCACATATTTTCCCAGCAGTCTCCTCAGCATCCTTCTGCTGTGGCCAGGAGGCACCCTGCACTGCAGACTGGGGCACCCTTCCAGCCCATCTCCTGGACCAGGTCAAACAAGTGCTCGACCGGTCAACGCCCAACCCCTGGCCGATCAACAAACATGCCCGACTGGTCAACATGCACTGGTGCCAGTGGGCCAACTTGGCCACCACCAGCCTGGAGCCCGGGGGGGGTTCCCTGGATGCTAAAACTGCCACCGCCATTTTCCGGAAGTTTCCACGGGTCACTGCACTACGGCTACGCCCAGGCCCCAGGGGCCAGGGGCCTGGAGATGGGTCCCTGCCAGCCTTGCAGGGGGTGTCCAGCATGTTGCGATCTCTGGATGCCACTAACTTCTCCCAAATGGGGGATGCGGGCTTGGAATGTCTGGGGCGGCTAACGTCGCTCACGGAGCTCAGTGTGCGGCTGTGCAAGCGGCGGGTCTCGGCGACGGGCCTCAAGGAACTTGGGATGCTCACCAACCTGGCCAGCTTGGCGTTGCGGGACTGCTTCGGGCTGAGCGATGAGGGGGTGGGGGCCCTCACACACCTGAGCAGCCTCACGCGGCTGAGCATGTCTGCATGCGAGAAGATCAGTGATGTGGGGTTGGCTAGGATCGGGGCACTGACGTCTTTGCGGCAGGTGCAGATCAGCGGGGCCCTGGGCCCAAGCGGGCAGGGCCTTGAGGCCTGGCGGGGGTTGGGGGCGCTCACCAAGCTGGAGTTCCGGTCGCTCGTGAGCTTGGGCGCCGTGGGTTTGGGCTGCATCGGGGGGTTTAGGGGCTTGCATTGCCTGACGCTGTCGGCGTGCCGCAGTGTGCCCGATGAGGCACTGTGCGCCCTGGGCGGCCTTGCCAACCTCACTTATCTGGATCTGTCCTGCTGCTCGGGGGTCACCAACCTTGGTCTTGAGCCCTTGGCCAGGTTGACCTCCTTGCGCACATTGAAGCTTCTGGGGTGTAGTCAGATCACCGACGCGGGCTTAAGGGACCTTGGCCGGCTGACCAACGTCACAGAACTCGACCTCACTCTCTGCAAGAACATCACGAATGTGGGTTTGTGGTACTTGGGCAACTTGACCAAGCTCGCTAGGTTGGATCTGTGCTGGTGCGGGTACATCTCAGACCCTGGCCTCACGTGCCTGGTTAAGCTGGCAAGACTGCAGAGCCTGGATCTGTCCTGGGCGCCAAGCCTTGGGGCCCAGGACCTGCAGGCAAGGGTTGGGGCGTCCGGAGAGGTGACCATTGTGAAGAGAGTGGCGGCCTGATGGCGGCAAAGTGCCATGGAGAGGGGGTGCTGTTGTCTGTGTTGATAATGTACTAGACCGCCCACGTATTGTGCTGCTCGGGGTGCCATTAATCGCCTTGCTACTTGGTGACGCGGGTGCACTTGGCGCATTTTGTTGTAGCCACTATTGTAGAAGGTGCTGGTCCTTCTGCTGAAAGATCTGGCTTGCCTTGTGGGCGTACGTTGGATGCTCTTGGTGGGCTTGTTTCTCTCTTTCCTTCTTCTCATTCCGTCATTTCTCTTTTTCCTTATTTTGTACTTCTTTTGCTTTTTCGATTGGGCTCCGGGGCTTTGGCTGCTGGGTGCAGAACCGTTTGGGATTGAGGGGAAGCTTCCCATTTCGTTTTCGATTTTGTGCCTTGGCTCTTCGGCGATTTGTACTAAGGCAACACTAGTTGTACTAGTAGAGTACTAGTCTACTAGTACTACTCAACTACTACTCTCAGGCGTGGGGGATTGTTTTGTGGAAGGAGTGTAGCTATATTTAATGCTGTGCGGCACTAGCGCGACCGACTGTTTCCTGCTTCAAAGAATTTCTGGTTAAGAAGAGATAGGAATTCGGAATTCCTAGTTCACGAAGAAGCGGGAGAACAAAGATTGGGCATTTGTGTGCATAAAAGATCAGATTATGATTGTGTGCCATTGGAACCATTGCATACCATGCGCTGCGCCAAGCAGCTGCACCTGTAGATGAGACATACCGAGATCCGATGCATCAAGCTGTCTTGATTCGTCTTGGGAGTAGTTGGCAATTGACTCCAGGCGTCGGTGATTGTGTGCACTTGAATCATAACGTTGCCCACGTCTCTTGTGCCAATTTTCGCCGTTGAGGGAATCGGTGGTCCACAAGGTATGTCTGAATTGGCAATGCAATCTTATTTCCGTCTTTCTTCCAATTGTGACGTGATATGCATGAATCCAAAACAGAAGGCAACGTCACCATTATTTGTGTTTTGGCCTTTTTTCTTTATTTACTTATGCTACCTTTTATGTACCTTAGTATTTACCTTCCTCTTATTGCACAATTGATATGACATAATGCAAAAAAGAAGAAGACGACCTGATGTGACCTTCTGTTCCAAATGGTGATGCAATACGCAGAAGTCTACAATATGAATTCAATGAATAACAACACCAGATGATATTACAAAGTGGGACACACGAGCGCGCTGCACACAAGGCGTCCTCTGAATAACCCGGCATACTTGGCAGTCGGGCCTGTGAGGCAGCGTAGGCGCCTATGTACTGCGTGCCAGTGCCATATAAAAATAATCTTTGGTGAAATGACAAAAGGGGGTCCTCTGCGAGATATCTTGTCAAAGGGGGTCCTCTGACCGCCCCCTTACATACGCTTTGCCAGACCGGCGCCAGGCCAACGCCGGCCGGCAAGCCGGTCCTAATATGGGCGACCCTGCAGAGGACCCCCTTTTGTCATTTCCCCTAAATTCAATCATATCAACGTCACCAGCCCGAGACAAAAATGTCTCAACTGCGCCAAATTAAATACGCACCCAACACTAGGGTCCCTACCCGCTACCCATCTCCCTCACTCCCTCCTCTACAGCCTCTACCTCAGCTCCCTCCAACTGCCCCACTAACTATGCGCCCCACTCTCATTCGTTCACAACTGTTCCCACGTTCATTCAGAGTGCTGTTTAACCGCCCCATCCCCACACCAGTCACCACGCCTTGGGCACCCCCACCAACCCACCGGCCCCCCTTCTCCCCAACCTGCCGCCGAACGCCACTCAAAAAACACCGCCCTCCCCGCTCCCCCTCCTCTCACCCCCAGCACCGTCATCTCTTCCTGCCATTCGCCGTTGCCCTCGCCGATCGCGCCAGGCCAATTCGTCGGGACGCCCGGGCATCCGTCCCCGGTGCCAGAAACCGGTCGATCTGCCCAGCGGGGGCGCCGCGGGGCGCCGGAAGGGCCCGCGGGCCGGGCCCGGCATTTGAGGGCTGTCGCGCGGGGCCGCGCGGAGTATGGCGGAGGCCGGGGGTCGCCAATGGGTGGAGGTAAGTGATGGACGGAGGGTAAGATTTGGGGGGTTGAGATTTGTTACCGAGGAAGAGGAAGTGGTCGTACAAAGGGCGCCCCTTACCGAGCAAATGTGCGCGAGGCGCTTCCGCATCATGGGAAGGCAGTGTAGAGTTTACGGTGCGGCAAGCATGGCCGCTCGACGCGAGCGCCGCGGAGGGCGAGAGAAGGATGGGAGGGGGGGAATCTGTGCGGTGAGTCCGAGCGCCGGCCGCGGACCGAAAAAGGAAAGGAAGGGAAAAGCGGTAGGGGATGATGAAAGTATCGACGGCGGGATCTTTGGGGGATGGGCGCCCCAGCGGGTGGCATGGTGTCTGCGCGATAGGCGGCGTGGACGGTGGAGTGCCCACGGGCAGATTGCCAAGTACCGAATGCGCCGGCGTCATCTTCCACAGCAGGGAAGCAAGCAGCCTTTAGCTACTGACTCAGACGTCCTTTTCGTCAAGCACTGTCAGCGGCGGGCCCGCGTTGGAGCCGGCGACATGGGGACGCCATTCGCTTTGCGTCCGGAGCGCGAATTGCGTGGATCGCGTTTGTCCGGGCGCGGCGAAACACGGGTCTTGCACCCTGCGTGCGGCGGCGGGCATGATGCCTCCCCCAAGCATTGTTCCAACTGCTGGTCTGCTCCCATGCATTGTCTTGTGTCGGACAGATCCCGGGAACCACCCCACTGCCCTCCTTTGAATTCGAATCTCTGGAAAAGCAACAAGCAGGCAGCCATTGGGCCTGCCAGGCGAATGTAGGCCATTTAATGTTTGCCTACAGATTATGCAACATAGTACAACTACAAATTCTGGTCCAAACCCCAGCTCCCGTGGCTGGCAATCTTTGTTGTCGGCATTCTCCTGACACCACGTCTGGAGCTCCCCACACCATCCTTGGGCACTCTTGCTCATCTTTTGGGGTGGCCGTTGCTCACTGTTGGCCGAGTTTTGAGCCTGATGCGCAAGCATCAAACCGCTCCCCAACCCCAACACGCCACTTCCCCTGCTGATTGTTGCCGACTGTTGCATACTGCTGAGTTGTGATAAGAAATTCTTGTGTGCCACAAACAAGTGGAAGCAAAAACAATGCTGAGTTGTGGCTCTGTGTCAATTTGAAACTGACCTATGATACACAGCAGAGAGTCGACCATTTTGCTCAGGAGGGGCTGGCTATCAATCGGCTGTTGCTCTTCCCTGCAGCTACCAATACCCTCAAGTCCATCTCCTGCCGATTTCCACCATCCTTCCCTTCTGTCCTCGCTGCCTGCAGGACATCCGCAAGTGAACGAGTGGAAGAGAAATCTCCCTTGTGGTGTCCATTGTGCTCATTCTCCCTGGAGTGCGATTCATGCTGCACTTCCCCCAGACAAATTCACCATTCCGTCTTCTGTCAATTTGCAGATCAAGTTGGACATGACGCCAAACGGGCCGTTCAGACTAGACAACTGCCCCATCCAGATCGACGCCCAGCAAGTTCCAGTTGTGGTGAGTGAGTGGTTTGCAGTTTTTTCTTGGGGTGGGGGTATGGCATAATATTGATTGATGAATAGTAACATGACTGTGATGTAATGACATGATGCAATAGTATGATATAATTGAAGTATTGTATAGTGTCGTTGAGGTGATAATGGTAAAGAAATGTAATTGGCTCTTTGCTGTTTGCATTAATGCAATGCTGCATCGCACAGAGCTGGGAACATTGGAATGGCACTGCCTTTGAAGTCGATGGATTCATTTGGAGTCTGAAAGAGCTGCTTCTTGTCAATCATGATGAAGCTCGAAATCCAGGTCATGGACAAGATCGACTGCCCCACCGTGTGATTGTGCTGACACTACTGTTTATTAAGCAGAAATATTGAACATTGATTAATCATAACATCGGTTGTCAGCGCTTGTTTATTTTTGCTGAGTTTTTTGACATTGTCAGTTGTCTTGTGTTTTGTGTCTTTTGACTACACATTAAGCCATTCATTGAAGCCAAACCACTCTTTGTCCACAATTGAGGGCCTTGCTCTCACATTTGTTGCCTACACATGTGCCTAGTGACCATAATGTTTTCCTGCACCTGGAGGACTGACCAAAACTGCTTTTTTTTTTGCATTGCATATTAACCCATGGTGTGTACCCATTGGTGCAGTTGTATGCCAAGGCACCAAGGGACGTGGAGGAGGTTAGAGGGTTGCTGCAATGGTTCCATATGGAGAGCAGCCGATCCAGTGAGAAATTTCCAGAGGGCGACACATTGTAAGTACTACAAAGTACAGCAAGAATGTGACACTACCCGCTGTCCCGAGTGTACATGAATGAGCTGTGAGTGGTGCAAGGTATTGGATACTTTGTGCAATGCAGGTTGACTATTGCAATGTACTGCAACAGCGGCCATTGACTGCACCATGAGGGCCACAAAAAATTACTCCAGTCTTGATACAGCACTTGGTTCACCAGCAAAGGAATGAATTTGTCCTCAACAAAAAGAGCAACCTGAAGAGGTTTCGTTTCTCTTAATGTTTTGTCACAGCTCGGTAAGTCGCGTGTTGTCAAGTGGGCTTGATGTGCTTTGCATAGTGTTCTAGCTGGCATGAGACGAGGCAATCAGGTCCATCAGGGATATCAGTGGCCAGTAGAATATTTCTGTGTGGACAGTAATAGCTAGAGTTCATACAACAAGAATGCACGCCTGCTCATTGTGTACGTGCTCGTTGGTGACTACAGCTGTTTTTTGGTTGACACATGCTTACAGTTTAATCCTTTGTTATTAATAGACTGCATGAATTACATTTGTTGTTGCATGTATACTGTACGTTCCTGTTGGGGCTGCTGGGCTCCCTTTCGGCCCCTGCTGTGGATTTCCTGGTGAACGGGTCATGACGGTGAATAGAACGATGGAATGTGAATAGAATGTGAATGAATTGTGAATGGAATGTAAATGGATTGTGAGTGCGACAGCAGTGAGGTTTGCCATAGTGTTTGTGGTATCATCAAGGGTGATCAATACTAAGATGACAGCCTTTTATTAGCTGTACAACTTGCCAGGTTTAAAGATTGTCTGATTTTAACATTGTTGTGTTGTTATTAATTGCTGTCCATTTGGTAGTAGATTGCTAGTTCACAACTTCTTTACAGTGGCTGATAGTGCTATCCGTTTTCAAGGTCTACAGGTCAGCTGTACACCTTCCAGACGCCGCTGTTGCCATAAGAAATCTTTGGATACTGCCAACACTGGCACTAAATTGTATTGTTTATTTAAATGATACAGTATATGGTAATGCACTGCACATATGCACTTAGATATGATGCTGTTTTGGCGGTCTGCAGGGCGACCTTGAGCCTTCCAGCATCTTTGAGCAAGGGGGAGAGAGCCACGTGGCACCACATCGCTCTTGACCTGGGGCTTGGGTCCATGTCAAAGGTGGTGTTGGATATCCCACCAGTATCTAGGGTCGCGTGACGCCACTGAGGGTTATCGCTGGGCGTGACGCTGTAGGTTGGGGTTTGAGGGGAATCCACATAATGGGGGAAGGCATCACGCGACCAAATATAACCCACAGTAACTATCACAATTTCTTGGCATTGTAAGGTTAACAACCTTATGCGTTCTTGTTTTTAGTAACCCTATTACGTACATGATTTGTTGCGGATGATGTGTATTGGGGGCCTCCCAGCACACTGGTGCCAAGTGCTTCAATGAACATCTTGATCATGAACTCACATGCACTGTGCGCTGGCAGTGCTGAAACTCTGCCAGATTCACCTGATATACGGTGTTCTTTATTCTACAACGTTCCAAAAAATTTCCGAAAACCAGACAGTGTTGCAGAGTGTGCTGGAAGCCGGACTGATACTAACACCAACAGCACCCACAGGGCACAAACATTAGCATGGGTGTTGGGCAAGTCCACCAGATGTGTAGTACTATGTAATGTACATGAAGTTGCTGCAATGCATGGCAACCCTGCAGGGCACGGGCGCCGAGCGCTTTGTCATGATCTTCACTGTATGGTACAAGGCCCAAGGTTGGTGCGAGCTTGAACTCACCAAGGAGAAATGGGAAGAGGCGGTCCAGATTTGGCAGTGGTGTCAAATGGAAAAGGGACCCTTTGCGAGCATCAGCAGGTTCGAGGTCGGAGAGATGATGCTGTCCGAAGGAGGCCTGAGGGAGGACGTTCGAGAGCTTGCCAACAGAATGTGGGTGCTTGCTGAAGCATTGTCCTTTGTGACAAGATGCAATTCTTTGTTACACTATTCAAGATACAATTCAGTTTATTCTGGTTGAGTTGGTTCAATACTGTCTTGGTTTGGAAAGATTGCATTACAATTAGGGTGGCACCTGGACGCCCAAATGTGATCCTTGATTTGGGAAGAACAGATTAAGTGGAATGTATCTTTTGACACTCAATATGATAAAGTGCACTTGTCATAGCAGTGCAAATACTTTACGCCTGAATTACATGTTGGGTTGAGGCCAGATGTGCGTACAAATGGACTGTTCCATTGGACATGTTGATGAGTCCATGATGCAACTGGTGGTTTGACCGTGCTTTGCTCAGCATGGGCTGGGACAAAAAATTGTTCAATGCAGCTCAGTTCACATCTGAAGCAATGCTTGGTAACATTGCAAGGGATGCTTTGCAGGTATTGATACAGGGTTGCCTTTGTGTGCTGTGCATGCCTGTCCCACTTTAGCCCTCTGACCAAACCCAAGGTGCCACGCTGACTCAAGTTCTTACATGTCAATCCACATCCCCAAAACAGCCCATTTGGCAGAGGTTCCGCTCTTGCATTCCTAAGCTGCCAGACATGCAGCATGTGGCCATGAGGGCACTCAAACTCTCAGAGAATCAAGCTTCTGAAGAGAATTTGTCTGTGTCATTGGTCTGCAGGGGCCAAGCGAAGCAGGCAGCGGACTGTTTGCGGAGGGCCGACATGTCTGGCGCATCGGTGGTATTTGCTGACAATCGAGACGTGGTTTGGTGCCGCGATGAGGAATCGGGCGGCTACCCAATCCATCTGGCCTGCTGGATGGGCATGACTGAACTCGTTGCCTGGCTGGCCCAGTTTCCAGGTAGCCATATACGGATGGTAGTGGCACAAAGTACTGGTACAGATTTCTGTTGACAGAGACAGGCTGAGACTACATGCAGTGCCCCTTTTCTGCGGCAATGTGGGTGCATCTGAAAAATGCTAAGAAATGCGTCTGGTGCACATTGTGCCTGAAATGGTGTTATTCTGGCGTTAGTGTGGTAGTTGTGTACAACAAAGCAAGTATGCAACGATAGTATAAATGTGCATGTGTGGTTTGTTTGGACAAGTCATGAGTTGTGGCTTTCGCATATCTGTGGAGATGGATGTCCATTTGCCTTCAAACAATTTGATATATATATATTGATTTGGTTTAGCTTAGCTTGGTTTTTGCGTGAGATATCTGGTGGGTTAATTCGGTGGACTGCTGCTTAGGAATGGTGCAAGTGAAGGATGGCAGCGATGCAACGCCCATCGACATCGCGAGCGCCAGGGGCCATCACGAGATCGTCGGCATCCTCCTGCAAAATGGCGCGCGGGGTGTGGAAAACGGCCGGGCCGCCCAGCTCACCTACCTCCACCACCCGCGGTACAACTCGTTCAAATCCGACGAGCATAGGGATGAAGTTCTGTATGGCAAGCCGCCCAGCATGCCACAGGGCTCCGCCCGTGGGGGACGGGGGAGGTTCCAGCGTGGTGGCAGGGCCCAGGGGCCCAGGGGCAGGGGTTGGAGGATGACTAATGGTGGTGGAAGAATGACTAATCCTGGTGGGAGGATGAGTAACGGCAGCAGCAGCAGGATTGCCTCTGAGCGTGGCAGGCGCGGGAGGGGCGGCATGAATGGGTACAATGGGAGGGGCAGTTATGAGGGTGGTCAGGGCAGAGCCAATGGGTATGGTGGGACAGGTGGGCAAGCGGCTGGAAGTGGTCGTGGGGCTTATGGAAGGGGGAATGGGTATGTTCGGGGACGGGGTGGGCGTGGCGGATATGGGAGGGAGGACAGGGGACGTGGACCTGACAGTGGAGGTGGGAGGTATGGTGCAGACCAGGGACAGCAGCCCTTCGAGTCGTCACTTGTGCCAAGGTCTGTCAGGTTGAAGGGCGAAGGTGGGGCGGTGGCGTCAGGGAGCGGGAGCGGGAGGGGCTTCCAGGTAAGATTTGTTGCAAAGAAAGACAGAAACAGGTCTTGCAAAGGGCACCCTCCCCTAAGCAATTGCACGCAAGGTTCTTGTCCATGCTGTGGAAAGATGGTGTAGAGTCCAGGGGCTTCCTGGTGAGGAGGGAAGAGCGCTTTTTGGTTGGGTTTCTTCTGTTTTCAGTATCCTTTCTTCTTTTGGATCGCATGCTGTCAGCAGCGCATGGTAAATCGGTTTTCACCCCTTGCAGGTGAGAGATGTTTGTTTGTTGCCCGTTACACACAGTCCGAGTTTTTAAATATTCATATCAAGTAACTGGGATACAGTCAATCACAGAATTCAAGTTGAGACCATGAAGATCTTATACCTAATCTGTGCGATGCATGAATCGAATCCAGCAGTTGCAGTTGCCGCAAAGCAGTGTTTGCATTTGTCAAAGCTTTACCATCGCTACCCTTTCGCCTATATGGCAATGTTGGGCGATGTTGGGGCCTAGTGAGGAGCAATTTCAGACTCAGAGAGTTCAATCTGGATTGTTCTTGTGAGAGCATTGCCATGTGTTTCAACGTCGTGCAGATTATGGGGCACAGCTGGCCAAAGTTGTCTGCCCATCCTACACCCTTTTGTCATCAATGCCTCTGCAAGTGATCCAGCACAGGTCCCTTTCCTTCAACGATCCAGATCCAGGGGAGATATCCACAACCAGCTTCATCCACAATTTGAGTTTTGCAGGAGATTCTAAGTCCAATGAAAACAAATAGCGGCCAGCAGTGATCAAATGGATAGACATGCGAGTAAGCCTGTTGCTTTCTGTGCAGGTGAATGCCGACGGGTCGTACTACAACGATGAAATGCAGCGGTACGAGTGGCGGGACGGCACCACGGGCGAGCTGTACGTGTGGAACGACGACTCGCAAAAGTACTTGCCGGAGGCGCAGGTCGTGGATGGGGGCACCTCCAATGGGGCAGCTGGGAATGAAGGGGGCGACGCAAAGGCGGTGTGGAACGAGGCCACTGGGGAGTGGGAGTATCCGGGCTACCCTGGATGGAGATGGAACGAGGCAACGCAAGCTTGGGAACAGTCAGACAGAGGCGGTTCCTCCACTGCAGCTGTGACAGCAAATGGCAATGTGGGCGGTGCGTGCAATGGGGATGCTGTTGGAGTGGGGACCTCGGATTTGAATTCGAGGCGGGCCGGTGCAGCAACAGGGGAGGGGTCTGGGGGCGGGGCGCAGAATGGGTGCATGTGGGATGAGGGTCTGCAGCGGTGGCTGAAGGATGGGTGGTCGTACAACGAGGAGACACGGGAGTGGGAGGCCATGTGATGCGGCCGGGCTGTTGGAGGGTGGAGGGGAAACCTGTGGGGGTGAATGTGCTGTGTCGTGCTCTAGCAGCTCCAAAGGGGAGCAGTTTTGCCTGATGATTTATTGGGGTGAACTCTGGGGTTCCTTTGCCTGGTATATTTGGGGCCGTTGTTTTTCTCTTGTTTGTTTTATTGGGAGAGCATGGGTGAAAGGGGTGCAGGGGAGGTGGACCATCAAATGGGGACCTTGCTGAGCAACATGGTGGGGTGGCCGCACTGGGAGCTTAGTTTGGAATGTCCGATGAGATTGGTGTATGCTATTGGGCGTAAGAAACGGACACATGGAGGGCCTGGGGAACGTGGCATGTGCTGTCGGGCAGTTGCCAGAAGGTCGAGTGGAGACCTGATTGGGAATGAATGCTCGGAGACAATTTTGAGGTCTGCACTTTGGATCCCTTTGGGAAGGGAGTAGATCCTAGATGGACTCCGCGTTGCGGAGAAGAGAAGTGTGCCCTTGTAGTTGCAACCTGGACTTGGGATGGGTGTTCGAGGCCATTTGACACTTGGTAAGGTGATCCAAAGCGCACGTTGCCCTCAATGGGCATGGGGTGATGCCTGAAGGTGGATCGATGCCAAGACTATATACAGATTTTTTCGCCATGGTGATTAGTAAACATGACTTCGAAGGGGCGGCTGGACTGGGGAGATTCGTAGGTCCGCGTAATATATCTGTATCTGGATTAGTAAAGGTAGCCGATTCATGTGGCAAGGGTGGGCGACGATATGGATGCCCACAGAACAGAAGGACTTGTTGGATGAGCAGATGGGGAGAAGACCCAAGGCTGAACAGGCAGGCTTGCAGTGCGCCCTGCTGCGGTTCTGGACAGAGATTTTCTTTTATGGAGTGTCCTTCATGGGCAGCCGCATTGCAATGGCTTCCGAGTACCTGCAGGGTTTCCTTGTTTCGCGAAGTGGTCGTTTGACCATCAGCATCTCCTTTTGACTGCAGCTGCCAAAAGAGGGACAAGGCACCATGGGGGAGTACAAATGCCATGACTTGGATATGTGGCACTCTGGTGTTGTTCCCTGTGCTTGACATCGCCAGTCCCACTTGTGCTTGTCAAGATGTTGCACCCACGCACAAAGTACATTCGGTGGCGAGCATGAATGTCACGTGTGTTAAGATGCATGTTAGAATCCCAAAGACAGGGCATATGCGTTGGATCACCCCATCCTCATCAAACACACGGTGGGCTTTGTTTCAGTCTGAATTCTACAGGTGCCACTTCCCATGGGAATCAGATCGAAAGCAGGGAGTGTGCGTCTGCTTATGCATGTACATGTGAGGGCTGGTCCTGCCACTTCTGGCGATGCACTGGAGCATTCCCAAAATCTGTTGCCGCGGATTCGTTGCAGTGATTGCAGTCGTTGTGCATGTTTGGATGCGCATTGCTCGCCCATTCTGGTTCCTGACTCCCATGCATCTTTCAGTACTTTCCCCTGCATCTTTCCGAACATCTTTCAGGATCGGGGTGCGCTGGCCACCAACGGGGTGGGGGAGCGAGCATGAAAGACCGGACGAGTAACATGACGGGATTCCTCATCAAGGACAACGATTCCACGTGTTTGCAGCCCCAAGAAATGCTACACATTCAAGGCACTTTCACGCATGTCATTGGCAGTTCCAAAAGCCATTCTTCCAAGTAAAACTTCATAAATTCTATGAATTTTACATGTTGTGGAGAAGGGCGATGGAGCCGGGGCCAGGCGCAACAGGGCCGACGCGCGACGCAGAATGTCCACGAGGCGGCGCCCAGGCGGGGGCCTCGGGGGGCCGTGATTAATTGTCAGACCGCGAAGCACAAATGTGGTGTGCACACAAGCGCGCAGTGTGCGTGTCTGTTGCAGTGGTAATGGGTGGTCGAACTTTGAAGCGTGAATGCACTGTAACCAGCGCTAATGTACTAAATGTGCGCGCACGAGCCAAGGCAATCAACGCCAAAACTTTGCAGCGTGAACGTAGTGTGGGCAAAGCACGTCATGTGCGCGTCCGTGGCAGAGGTGATTATTGGTCAAACTTAGAAGCGTGAGCACGCGTAAATGTACGTGATGTGCATACCCGTGCCCGATGGTTATGAACGTCCCAACCCCGCAACGCAAACGTACATAATGCTTTCCCCCCCGCCAAAGGTGATGCTTACGTGCTCGCGGAGCTCACACCCACGTGTCTCCTGCCCCGCCGCGGCGCGGCCCCTCAGGCGGACACGGGCGCCGCCCATGGCCCAGCCACGCTCCGCGCCCCGCCAGCGGTGCGCCCCGCCCAGCAATGTGCGCCGCGACCGCCTGGCCCCGCGGGGCCACACCCACCCACCCACCCTCTCTTGACGGCCGCCTGTAGATCGAGTGGCAAGGCGAAGAAAGAGAGGGAGCTTTCTGAAAATCGGTTTGGCGTCCACTGTAGGGGATCCAGTTGAGGAGGCGATCGGGGCCCGGCCCTTGGGAGCTTGAGCGGCCAGGTGGTGGTGCCCTTGCCCTTTGGGGTGGGGAGGGGCCATTGGGGGGGCATGGGGAGAGATTGGGCGCCGTCCCAAGCGCCAAACTTTGGGCTGAAGCCGTCGCTGACGCGTTTTTCCTTCGCAGTTGCTGTCCAGACGCCTGGCTGTGCCCGAGATCTTCATCCACGCCATCGCCACCCCTAGCCCTGGCCATGCCTCCTGCTTGAAGCAAGCCCTCCCGGGTTTCCGAGTCCCACGCGAGACACTGCTTCTCCTGGACTGAGGGATTGAACAATTCGGAATCTTCGAGCTGCCGCGCCATGGGCCAGTTCTTCAGCGAGGACGTGCGGTCCGCTTGAAGCCCCACCCCTGCGTTTCCCATCCCCACGTGAGGCATTGCTTCTCCTCGCGTGGGCGGTTGAACAATTCGGGAACTTCGGAAGCAGCTGCCCCGCGGGGAGGTTCTGCATCAAGGGCGTGCGATCCGCTTGAAGCCCGACGCCCCGCGTTTCCCAGCCCTGGGCCAGGCATTAGTGCTCCTCGACCGAGCGATTGATCTTCGGCATCTGCGAGCTGGTGCTCCATGGGCCAGTTTTGCAGCAAGGACTTGCGGTCCGTGTCTGCTGCCAGGTCGCGGTGCCGCCGAGCTCATGACGACCCGCGGGCGGACGGAGCGGAGATCGAGGCGAGGTGCATGACCGTGGCAGAACTGCTTGTGGGGCGGCGCAAGGGCGCGTCATTCAGGGAGCACTACGACCGGCTGGAGACGGTGTCCTACGGGGCGAGCAGCACGGTGGCGCGTGGGCGGGACCGGGCGACGGGGGAGACGGTGGCGGTGAAGGTGATACCCAAGTCGAAGAGCAAGGTGCGTTTTAAGCGTTTTTGAGGCGTTTTAAGGCGTTTGCAGGCGTCGGGGTTGTGTGGCGTTCTTCGGAGGCATGCTGAGGCCTTCCTCGAGGCGTTTTGAGCGTTTAGTGCGGCGCTTTTGGGGGCATTTTTTGGCGTTTCCTTGCGTCAGTTGTGGGGGTCGCGGTGCTGTTTCTGCGCAAGGGATGGGGGCGTCTCGCCGGCTGGGTAAGGTGCACCATGGCGAGGCGATGTGGGTCCTGCAAGATTGAGCGTGCAAGCTTCAAGAACGCCAATCGCAAGGTCCTGACTGCCCTTAGACCTCGCCCTAATATGCCCCTGCCGCGGCCCGGGGCTGGCCAATCAGGGCCCAGAGTGCGGCTTGCAACCTTAACGCGCAAACAGTGGAAGACACGGGTGCCAGGGTTGGTTGTTGAGCGGTTGTCGGGGTTCTTAGAGAGCGCCCTGGACTCGTGAACCCGCGGGGCGACGCCAGGGTCGCAGAAATGGAATGCGGTCCAGGAGATTGCATTGCCAGGGAGGGAAGGGTGGGCGTGGGTGGGCGCAGATTTGTCACGCTGCAAGAGAGAACAGGTGTTGGAAAGGGGACACGCCCTCTTAAGCAAGTTTCAGACTTTGTCATGCTTTCCAAACACGATGCAGATGAGCACACAAGTGTGCGCCCATCAATTCACAAGCAGCACAAAAAGCAGGAGGGGGGGGCTTTTGGGGTGCTTTGTTGACTGGCAAAGCTGAGGTGAAAGGTGGGCAACCAAGGCGAACGAATGAATGTTGAAATAGTTTGGCAACCATGGTGAACGCGATGCGTGGACCCCCTCCTGGGCATGTATTTGCTGGAGGTTTTGTCGAGCAGGCCGAAGCTGTTCTGTTGATGGAAGGGAAACCTGTCACGCAAAGGGCGCCTTTGTCCTATGGACGAATGCAGCGAGTCGATTCCTTGTACTGTAGAAGGAGGGTACAGATTCCTCAAAAGTGCGATAAGAATCGCATAAAGTAGGACACAACAGAAGACACATAGAAATGGGTTCTCAAACAGGTGTGTCCTTGATGGCGCAACTCAATTCCTTGATGTGAATGCACAAACGAGTTTGTGAGAAGCAGAGAGAATCTCACGCAAGGATCGCCTCTCCCGGTGTATCACCACATTCAGGTGAACCCATTCGTTGCACAACGTCATCCTCAGTCATTCTCAGTGGCTGCATTTCAAAATCCGATAGGTGCTGTCTTTCCACACATTTGGTGATGTCAGGCACTCTTTGCAATCAGGAATTGTGTGGTTGTCACCATCATTTACCTTGTCCCACAGGCAGCAAGCAATGCTTAGATTCCTTGCTTTAGATTTCACTGCGTGAGAAAATGCGGAAACCTTGTGGCTTGTAGGCGATGGCAGACATGCACACATCCTGGGTATTTGTCCCCAATCAGTCATTCTTTTCCATTTGCCATTTTTCTGCATCGCATACAAATGGAGGTGGTAGACAAAGAAAAACACAACTAAATGGACGAAGCATTACACTTAATAATGTAGTAGTAATTGCAGGACTAACACATCATGTGTCAGCATGGAAACAAGGACAATATCTTGATGTGCAGTCGTTTTACTGGAGCTGTAGGTTTCAATTTTTGGCAGTTTGCCTTGGGGAGTTATAGTGCATCTACC